AATGAAGCAAATTTCATAGAGCTGCAATATTAATTATCACAGCATTCATAGATTAGTGTTTGCTGGCAAAATGAATTTTTAAGAATCAAAAAGCTACCTGTAATTTAAATTAACTGTTTCTTTTAACCCGATTTTACCAATTTTAGTAAGAGTGTAACTTTCAAGTCAATGGTAGCTATTGATTCATTACGTTAATTCATAGTCAAGCATTATATTAGTAAAGAAAGTACTTACGTCTTGTTCTACTGGCTTAAAGTGTGGACAAACTTCATTTTCCTCCTCGCTTGTTCCTCGAAAGCTTGTCTTCTTGGAATGCAAATTACAGCTGTCCCGACCAAATATTTCAGCTGATGGCGTCAAGTTGCCAACGTTGTTTCGTGCTTTTTTATTCTTGAATGGGTTAGTTTTAAGTCGTCTACCATTTAGGCAGCGTGTAGGAGTTTTCATCGCGAATCGAGAAATGAAGTGCCGTGGAGTAAACGGGGGGCATAGTTCATTTGAATAGTTTGGAAAACATGGTAAACGACGATTAAATGCATGAGTCAACAAGCCAGAAATGCGGTTTGCATCAGAACTATTGGTAGTTTCATCTTTTGAACCAGCTTCATGTGGTAAGGGAGAGAGTCCAAAATTCATTGGGCACACATCTGGTGATGGGTTAGCAGGACGGACTCTCAAATCGATAGCAATTGCTGTATCGTTATCATTAGCAGTTGATTCGTTGCTTGGGCTCATGTCTTCCGTGGAGCTATTCCTTGTCATTCCTGGTGCAAATTTATCAGAGAAATTTTGTTGAAATGATCTTTCAAGAAAATTCATGGTCCAAGAATCTTGTGGCGCAGAAGGTTGAAACTGCGTTTTCTCGCTAAGTTCGGTTAAATATCTTAAGACAGATTTCTGGAAATTGATTGCCTGTAACATTGTGTAGCTATACAGAGAATTAAGAAAACCATGACAATCAGATCCGAGAGGTGGTAAAGGAATCTGTTCAACACAATAGTTCAAAAGCTGTAAAACATTTGAATTTCCCTTTAAAGCAGGAGCACTTTTACCAACTAATCCTGAAAGAGTGTTAGGAATAAAGAATCTAGAGAATTGGCCGACTTCGTGAAAAAAATTGGGTGTTCTAAGCTTCAGTTCAGGGCCAGAATCCGGTTTACCTCCAGAAATAGCACATTCAGTAGGCGAAATATAATGACAACGACGTGAAGCAAGGGGGAAAGCGCATAGAGCAGATAACTTTGCATTGGCTTCTGTAAGAAGGTATGGATTTCTGTTAAAATCTACCCTCTCACGATACGCAGAAAATCCCGAATGATTATTGCAACTCGATGGTGGCGACGAACTCTCATGCAAGGCTTTAAATTGTTGATCTTCACCCTCAAAATGCTTGTGTGTAAGGTTTATTGGTTCAATTGCATCAGCAATGTTGATATAGGGAAATTGATGTTTACTTTTGTGAGGCGCACTTCCTTTGCGGCGTCTGTTGGGACTTCCAAAAATGTCTTCGACCTCTAAAAGCCCAACTGTTTGATTAGTAAGACCAGCAAGCATAATAAACGAAAGAAAAGAACAAATAAGCGATTATGTGTGGCTCCAATCAAATCACCTCCAATCCTCAAGGGCAAGGTTATCCAATGTTTCAAAATACAATATTAGAAAACATAATAAATGAAAGAAAAAAATCAAATATTTTACTAAAAAAGTTTGTTTAATATCACTATATAGGCATATGATTTTTTCAGCATTAGTTTGTGAACGAAACCCTCACAATTACGTGAGTGGGACAAAAAGATTTATTTAGTGTTTCCTTTTATTATTCAGGTTCAGTTTTCAAATTTCTGAAACTGAGGTTAAGAAAGCGCTTTTGACAACTTTGCAAAGGAATATGCATAGCAATTAGGCTATTGCAATTTTCATTATTTTCGAAAATGCATGTGAAGTAAAACATATCGCGACTAGCAATAAGTAATCAATTTTTGAAATAAATGATGCATAATCGAAGCCATGATTAAAAGATTTAACAAAAATGGGTTATGACACATGAATTAGTTTCTCAAAATCTCCTCAGAGATTAATTGAGGGACTGGTGCTACATGAGAATCCACGATGTTTAGCGGCAAGAAACAATGACTTGTATCCATGTTTTTATGTTTCCAACTGAGTACAAAAAATTTTGGGCTGAAAAAGATAACAAGCTTTCAGAATTCTATAGTCTGAAGGCTTTTCATTACGAGACCTTAAAAAAACTGCCTATTGCAGTGTTGACTATTTTTTAAAATATGCTGCTAATTAAATACCCTAAAATATAGTATAATTCCTAGTAATCAAAAATTAATAATGTAAGTAATAAAAATAAAACCGTTTTGTTGAAGATTGTTTATGTTTAGCTCAATAGAATATCCCCGAATGTTTATGCTACATAGAGCAATGTATGACAATATTTTTCTAGACTTACTCAAATAACATGAAAATATGAGCCAAAGGTCGATAATCACGATGCATTAGTTCCACTTTTAATCCATATTTAATTCAATGAAGAATAAAGGCAAAAATTTTATTTGTATTATTCTTAGTATTATTAAATGTTGCTTCATATAACAACATAAAAACAGAAAACATCTAATGTTTTCCTGTTCAATTCTACTATATTTCCATTCGCATATGCACTACTAAAATGGGATCAATGAAATATTTCTTTTTCGCTTTTTCATTTTGTACCAAATGATTTGTATGTGCATGATTTAGAACATGAATTCCTTAAAAAATCTTTGAAAAATTGGTAACAATGCCAACACAACATATAACATTTGAAGAACAAGCAAAAATGTGGTAGGTAATCTAGAAGTAGATGACGAAAGTGTGAATTAAATGTCGTTGCTCCTTCAAAGTGGTCCAACTGTATACGGAAATTCAAATCTTACAAGGCGTTTAAAATATTGGGCATTTGTGTCGATACTGTTTTCTTTTCCATGCTTATAAATGATTCATTATGACTTTAAACTTCTATTGATAAAGGGTTAAAGTAAAATCCTTCGTTCTTATTCTGCGTAATGTTCCTGCAAGTAAATTATTGAAATAATGAACAATTTGCAGGCAAAATAGGCATTCCGAATAAAATTATATATCGACTGGTGATAGGCTTTAAGCTCACCCAAATTTTCCAATAGGTACTCCTTTTGTTTATAAACAAAATTGAATAATGAACAAATAGAAATAAATGTCGCTAAATTGTTGTACACAGTTTAACTTGTTTTCAGATTGTCCTCTCTTCGTTGTTTGTTAGTGATTTATGTTGTGAAAAAAGCTCGCATTTTAAAATAAACCTTAGTTTTCGTGCTTCACGTTTTTGTACTATGCAAGTGACGCTTCTAGACGATGCTATAAAAACATTGATTGTAAAGCAAAAGTCTACAAAGAAGCGTACCTATTCCCGAGTATGGTCTCGATGATTGTTTTTTTCTTATTGGTAGACCGAACTTTTGGAAATAAAAGGTAATTGCAAACAGGTTGAACCTCCTGAGTTTTTGGACGATCGCCTTTTGCGAGGAAAGAATCCTAAAGATTGTTTTTGTCGAACATGCAGAAATTGCAATTCTTCGTGTAATTTTTGTGACCTCTAATGTTGAACAGGTTCTCGCTATGTAAAATCGTTAGATGAGAATCACAAGGCAGTGAGTAGTAATCAGTCCTACACAGAAAAGGAAGTGGTTGCCAAAGTTCATAAAAAAAGCCCAAAGGACAAACGGTGTGACGTTCGGCAAATAAATGACAATGTCATTGGGGTAAGTCGAACTCCTTTATGATGTTTTTCCAGCGTAATGCGAAGCCTGCGTGGTTCACAGAAGGGCCAAAGAATATTGACGAGCAAATAGATTTTGATGACATGAAGTTACCTCAGTTTCATGATCAGGCAATTTGCAAAATTCAATCTATAGATGCTCCAAAAAAAGGTTTGAAATTAAAATTTCGTTTATCTAACTAGTTGTTGATCAAGACGCCATTGATATTCAGGGTAGTGCGCCTCAATACCAGGGTAAAATTGTGAATTATTACCATTTTTAGACAATAAACTAAATGTTATAGTCCGTGAACCATTTAACAATCATACAAATCTTCTAAATAAAACCAAGCGTGAGATCATTTGTGCCTTAACAAATATATATAGAGGAAAAACCGGTCAGGATCTATACCCTTCGTGATATCGAAACGGAATTGCACGTGAGGAAATGTGATAATGGGACTTCAAACGATCTTTCTGCATTTAATAAGTTGTTAGAACTGGTTGAAGTTCGTTCGAATAACACTTCCTCGACTGAGGTAATTCACATTATTATCTTGGTGACTGTTCAAGCAAATTTCCCCCCAGCCTGCTGTGGAAGTTTCAAAAGCTGGAACTAACGAAAGTGTCAGGGATCAAGAAAGGTCGTCAATCCACGAATTAAGCAAAAAGGATTGTTCTACCTCACCGGAAACTCTTGGTTCATCTCTGGAAGGAACATATTCGTCTAAAGACTCCAGCAGCTGCTCAACAAGAGTTTCTGCTCAGATTCTTAATCAAGGAAACGTTGGACACAATGTATGTACTCTTAATATAAATCTTAATTCTAAATAGGCCTACCGATGGATAAGAGCCATGGTGAGTATGTTTCCATAAACACTGGATTTGTGACTTTAGACCAACGCTGCATCAGCAAGTGCTTTTATATGCCAAAACATGGATGTTTCAAGCTCTTTTAATTCAGAGGCACAAAAAGGCAATCAAGGTGACTATTTTTACCTGCAGTAACTGATTAGAACCGGAATCATTGGGTCAGAATAGTATTTATAAGACCAATTATGAGGACATGAACGGTGATCAGTATGCGGATTTGGTGTAAGTGATGGACTAAATAAGCAATTTTACCTGCAGAGAGCCGACGGACGATTATGACTGCGTTTCTCATAGCGTTCCTTTTCAAAATTCAATGGGATTTCCAATCGGTTCCAGCATAAATCGAATGGCAAGTCGGATCTTTAATTCTCTAGATTTTCAAAATCCAAACAAGTACCTCACTCGCCAGCATCTACAGCCATATATTCTCCAACAAATCCTTCAGCAGCAACACTTGGCTAAATGTGAGTTTGGCACTTACATTTTGTATGATTTTACAACAAACACACCATTGGTGATAGATACGCTTTAATTTTTAATCGTCTAGAATCTAAAACGACTCTAATTTTGCAACAAAGGCTTAAACATTTACATCACTACATTAATTGGATAATTATTGTTCTAGTAAGGTGAAAAGACTAATTATGAATTGACAAAATAACATTACCTCCACGTAATCATCGACGTGAGGAACTTCCATTGGTCCTTTGAATACTTCGTTACATTGCATCTAGTTTGGCAAAGTATTAAGTTTAGTTACTCTAGAAATGCTCAATAACTTTCTGTTTTTAGTCCTTGTCTACAAATGTACCAGCACTTTACGGTGAAAAAGCGGATTGATTCTCAAGTAGTAGGGTGTAACGCAATTATACCATGGCAACTTTAATTTTGGGCATCTGAAATCCTATTACTTAACATGGAGTTCATCACTAAGATAAAGTTACCACTTTTGCATTAATTAATTTGAGAGAACACTTAGTGAAATTGGCTCCGCATGTAATCGAACTTAAATCTATAAAAAAACTTCAAATTGTCCGTAGTTTCATTAATGTAGAATAAGGGACTAGCTGTGCAATGCCTTTATTTCGATACGTTTGAAATATGTCAATAATTCGTGCTCATTATGTGGTTGGAATAATTCTTAAGCTACCTCAAAATTGTCAATTTATACGCTAAATATGTTTATTTAGAAAGGCTGCATTTCCACTACAAGTGTTTCCAATTTACATATACAAAATCTGGTTAATTAATGTTTTGATTACTCCCTTATCTAGTGAGTCTTTGACAAATTGTGCACAACCATTGGATAGTAGGATAAATAGCAAAGAATATACCCATGTACACGTTTTATAACAGGAGCTAAAACAGCATTCATTTGTTTGCACCTTAGATGGATGTTTAGAATTCGATTTTAGCATAAAAAATATGTGCGAATTGTCGATGATGAACCTATCAGGATTTCTAATTAACTTGGCGTCTAGTTTTTCAATGAATGCCATTCAAAATTGATCGAACTTTTTAATTTAACGGCTTGCCAAGACATTGTTTACTCCAAGTTTAATTGACTCGGGTCTGTTTAATTCGTTTTGGGAAATTATTCATTAAATGCCATATCATGGGCTTTGCTACAGAGTAAGAACGATGAAAACTTGAGACACGAGTTACCCCTCCAGATACCTCGACTCAGTTCTTGGTTAATTTCGTATCTAGCATTCTCATCTAAGAAAAATTGCGTTTGGATTTAACGATTCCTCCCGATCCACTTTAAACTCTGAAAATTTGTTGTAATCCCCCGATGTCCAAAATTGAGCGATTGGAAAATATTGGAGTTGTTCGTTTGTCACAAATTAATTTGGCTAAAATTAACCGATAGGAATTGCACTGAACGTATGGGGCAAGGGAGCTAACAGCTAAGAGAGATTACTCTCATGTACTTATCAACATTTTCCCATAAAAAACATGGAAAATGCAAGATGGAAGATTTCCTACTCCAACGCTCTGTCGTTGCACTTATAATTTGAGAAAAAACGTTAATGTATACTTTTCAGTTATGAGTAGTATCATCTACAGCAAAACCCTAAAAGAGAAAATAAATCCCCAAGCAACACTTTATGCAGTTCACTGGAAGAGGTTTCTTGGCTAGCATGTCTTACCATTCATAATTACCTTTTTTAAGATAAAGTGCTTTAGTTGTTCTTCACGTATTACCGTTAATTAGAAGAGCAAATTGTTGTGGGGCGTCCATTACAGCGTGAAAAACTTGTCCGCGTCGAGCGCTTTAGCTAGAGGAACATGGGTGGTGATACATAGCCCACTTAAGGTTAATTTACAAAACACGGTAAACCAGCATCAAACCTTCACCACCGCAGAATCGATGAATAAAACAATTAGTGTTTAGAACTGTATCATGGGGTTATTATTATTATTGTTATTATTATTATAACTGGAGCTCCATTTATGGATACTATGCTGCTGTAATTAGATATTAATCAACATCACTGATCTGATTAATCTTAGTCGGCAGGATTAGAAACGTCTTTGCATGTTACATTTCATGTAATCTCAAACTAACTGGTAACAGTCACGATTTTTCAAGAATTTAGAGACAGTGAACCTAATAATGCAAAAGGCGACAGTAAATATGCACGATGGAAAAATTGAATTCTTCGTTTTAAGAATCAAATTAGTGAGGCTGATAGCAACACACGTTGGGCTTCACCCACTTGCACCGTTCTTCTAAAATTCTAGGTTATTGGAATGATCCCTAAATCAAATGCAGAATAATGGCCATAGCTATTGGTGCTAATCAGGTATAATTTTCTGTTGTCTTCATATTGTCCCGAAAAAAATAAAAGCGGGGTCCTGTTTGGGATTCGCTCTCGTTCAAAAAGGTTTCCAAAAAGTCGATTCCTAGCGTTCCATTTTAATTGGGCTTCATTCCATGAGACTTAAGACACTGTTGTGGGCCCCAGCATGTGGTCCTGAACCACGCCGGGGCCACTGAATTAACCCTGGCCCGATTACGCTTACCTAATACCCAAGATGAAGAAAAAGACCGGGGGGGGGAACGTGGCCACAACCGTTTACTTCAGAGCTCAACTACGTTGGTGTCGTTGTGTGTCGTGTGTGGGGTTTGCGCGTGTGCATTTATACCTCAGATGCGTGAGCCATAGATACGGTAATATCGAGACCTAAGTGTGAGGATACTCCAAGATAAATATTCCCGCAAATGAGGGGGAGTTGATGATCCACGCGGCTGGCGACAAGCTGCGAAAATGGGCACCCTGTGTCGGAGGGTGGAGCGGCCGAATTAAGAAGCTGGAATATGCACGATTCACAACAACATTCTCTGAGCATTATTTGAAATCTGTTAATTCAAGACCATTTTCGGAGTTAGAAATGTAAATAATTTACTTTTTGCATGCATGCAGATGGCTACTTAGCTGACTCCGCTCTTCACCTGATGAACTGGCGCAACGCGTCCGTTGGCATGATGCCCGGATACCACCAAGCACATCCATTTCTCTTCGCGCTCAATTCAGGGCACCATCACCTTGCCAGCTCGGCTTGCGGCAACTACCAGACCTACAACAATTACCCCCCTCAACAGAATAACCACCAGGAGCACTACCAGCCGACGAGCCCAGGTAATGACGTTGACTTCTGCAACAGTTCTGCTTCGGGCCCGGAAAACAGCACTTTCGACTACATACCCCAAATGGATGAAGAGTACGAGGATGGCTTGAATTCCGTGACGGAGCAGTTGGATAAATAACTTGACTGAGTGTTTCCATGTTTTGTGATACATTACTTTTAAACTGTAAAAAAATCTGTTGGGATCCAGTCTTGCAAGACCATAGAATTACTTGTAAGGGGAAAGGGGAAGATGCACAACAAAGTAACCAGTGACGATAGCAAAGGTGCCAGCTTTGAATCGGTCCCTATTTAGCAATCCCTGTATTGTTCCTCAATCTATGTCGTTATCCGCACGTATGTTTGAAATGCGTGTCTTGGTAGAGGTGACACGCCATCTATTGATAGTGCTGTACTACTCAGGCATTTTCCCAAAACAGCGGACTCCCCATAAGGCCCAAAAGCAGACTTTTCGCACATGTTTTTACCCTCCGTCAGGTATGAAAATCATTAGGTTGCGCCTTGTTGAACTCCACAAGTTTTCTTCATTCCCCCGAGTTTGACTTTCGGTACTGTTGGCACCGACTTCTTGTCTCAAAAAAAAACCTTTTTTCCTCTACTAACGAAACAGACCATCTACTTTGATAGTGTGTTTATTTCCAGCCTCACGTCGTGCTCCGCTAAACGATTAAATGTGACCTAGTCGACCGTCGTCGTGGTCTGTTGACCTGCTCTCTGACTTCGTGGTACCTGTTTTATAAACTTGTCCAATTACCGTGAGTTGCTGTGCCACACACGAAACAGATCCTGTCTGCAAAATTATCTCGGTTGATCTGACGTCTATCTAACATCCTGTTTGCCGCGCGTGTTTACGCCTGTTTAATGCACCGAAACTTGTCATTCATTTGACACGAGAAATATGTCTTACATAAATCACTGGCCGCTCTGTGATAACTACCCTCTAAAGTGACTTTAATTAAGGCTTCACTGCAGTCATCGCAGACTACCTGCATCACAAAGTCCATTCAGTGCTTGTGTTTGAGATGCGTCGATGTTAATATTTGTTTAAAAACAAGTTAATTACGGAATGAACTTCAAATCGATTGAGATAAACATCTTTTGATGATTTCTGCTGATTGTGTAGCAGCCAGCGCTAAGCCTAGATGATCCGGTAAATCAGTCTGCAAGTTCACACAACTTCCACCATCGCCGCACGAGTTAATCCGCAAGCACGAACACTGTCTCTGCATCTCCAATCTCCGTTTTGTCATTCATTCGGCACAACTACCGTCCAGCTAGGTTACTCTGCTTAAATCCTTCTTTGCTGACTCACAAGATATTAAATTAACCATCTAGGGCGCCACGCCCCCTCCACCAAGATTTAAGTGCTGAGTCTCCCAAAATTAAAGCATTGCTTGACACGGTTCCGCGCCACATCCAGTGGGCGCCATAATTGAATTAATGTCTGCACCACATTTAAAACATACAGTTCTTCGCACGGTGAAATGATAGGAAGGCCGAAGACACAACCTATCACATTCCCCCTAGTCCGACTTCTTATTTATGTGGCTAAGTTAAACAAACCAAACACCATGTACACGGAGACGATGTGGCTCCGTCTTATGAAGCATGTGACACACAAACTGCTTATGTCTTGCGGTTATGTTATGCGCATTCACACACGACGAAACGAAGTCCGAGGTTTTTTAACACAATCCCTCGGTGCCACACACCCAGAAATAGCGGCGTAGCTAGGATTAATGGATTCCACTCGAGTCATCGGTATTTACACCCAATTAGTTGAACTAGCATCAGAATACAAGTGGCAGTACAATACAGGTGCATCAAAACTGTGGAACAACACACTCGACGTCAACCCTGATCCCCAGCAAAAAAAACCAACAAGTTTGGCGTTCAAATGTGGCTGTACCTCAAGCAAAAAACACCAATTTTGACGGCGTTTTTCACTAGAGAACTCCACAAATCTGAGAACACTGGTTCACTCCCAAGTCCTTCATCTCTACCTGCCCACCCATTTTCAAGAGGCCACGAGACCCACATGACAATAAAATAATATAATTATAAACGAAGAATATGTAAGGAATACAATCGCAAATGTAAACTTCAAAAAGCAAAAAAAGAGTAAAAGCAGTTCTTGAAGTGCAATAGAAAAGGCTGAATGGAATCATCATATTGCCGGTGGCGTGTGTGTGTGCGATGCACCAACGCACCAATGAGATGTGTTGGAGATGAAAGTGTGGCTGTGAAATCAGGGAACCGACGGCTCTTGAACGAATTGCAGGCGAGAGTTAACGTTCTACCACTACTACTAGATCCAATGATGAAACAGCTCAAAAGGTGTAAAGTGCGCCAAGAAAGCGTTACCAGACCAGTTTGGATAAGAACAGGAACGGAAAAACCGCCTCGGGGATGACGAGAAGAATGTTCACGGGAGGAAGTGTGATGGACACCAGTTTCCAAAGAAAAATGGAATGTGGTAAAAATGCAGCAGTTAAAAGCGGAGGTGGAGGGTGACTTGAGCAACACCAGATGACGGGATGTGAGGACAGAATAACTGGGGCTAGTAGTAAGCGTCAAGTGGTAGTGGTAGGCAAGGCACTGTCTGCCAAAAAAATTGTGAGAATCGCATGAAGGTCCCGCCAAAACGACACAACAAGATGATGCGGGGCTTTGACTAGTGTTGGTGGTCGTGAATCGCCACAATCAAAGTAAAACTGCACATTCAGAAAAAGCTTCAAAGAAACAACTAAATAAACTCGGGTTAATATACGATAGCGGGAATACATACGGTAATAAGTGGGACAGTAATTGCAAAAAATTAAGAGTAGATCTCCAAAAATATTGCTCAAAACATTAAAGGGGAAAACAAAATGCTAGCCTAAGTTGAAAAGAGCCGAACGAACGGCACGGCAAGTAAGTTCTACGGGACAGATGAACCGCCAGCGTGCAGGTACGTCACCTCCGGAATGCCAACTTCAAAACTTGAGTGCTTCTGCTAGGAAGCCAGCCGGCAGACGCGTGAGATGTGATGGTCGGGTTTACGATGGCGGCAAAATAAAGCAAACGTACATTCAATAAAAGATGGCTATGCAAAAACGCGCATGCCTTAAATTGGAAAATCAAAATGAGAATTCATATGGGAGGGTCGGACTACGAAATACAAATGTATAATTTATCTTTTGGATGGAGGGAGGGGGCTGACGTAAAAATGGCTCAACTGATGTACAGGGTGTTCATAACAAGAACATTGTTCGAGCTTCGTGCCAGAGTGACCACATAACCCTCTGTGGTTATCTTCAGGCAACAAGACCGACTCACTTTGGTCTGATGGCAAACAAACTCGCTAAGCAATTCGCCCTTATCGTTGAACACAGCAATGTGAAATCGGTTGCCATGCGAATCGCCAACAAGGACGTCGCCGTGGTCACTCACGTCAATGCCATTGGGGAAGTCGGTGAAGGTCTCGCCACCGATGGTGCGAATAAAGGATCCGTCCTCTTGAAACACCACGACACAGTGAGCCTGAGTAGGAACAAGGATGGACCGAGGGGTCAAACTACTATACGTAAAACTTTTAAAGGAACATGTTAATGCCGCTCAAACCAGTCGATAGCGTTAAAATGTGACTAAGCAACGATCATTACATCCAAATTTTGACGGAAGACTATTTTTGTAAAAAAAAAGCAATTTGTGATGGCGGTAATCGAAGTCAACAGGGCGTTCGTCATGTAAAACCATCCTAATTCTGTGTGTGTGTGATGATGCACGAGCACCAATACCAATACCACGTCATCGCAATGCGTTTTTTGTTTAGTTTACAAATCCTGAATCCCAAGACAAGCTGGCCGAAGTAATTATGGCAACAAGCAGATTATTAAACAGACCGCAAGCCCGGAAAAATGCGACATTTTGACGACGGAGTTCTAATGACGATAAACATAAAGGCAGTTGCGAAAAAGCCGATAAAAGTGACTTGGGAGTTTGATTAAGTGTTACAGGAACCACAAGTGATAGTTCAGACTGTTCCACGTGACCAAAGGGTGTGGTCACGATATTCTGACAGCCTTCACACATACCGACGGATTAGACATGACTGGCGACAGCCCAATGCAAGCTAAATTTTCAAATTAAATCAGCATTAGCCAGTGTTTCAACCTCCGAAACTCGAGTATCACGCTGCTAGTTTACGATAATCTTGCGGGCGAGGTCAACTGGTGCAAATTAAGGACTAGTGATTGTTGATCAAAATAAAGCGCGTGCGCTGGGGTCGTGCGTGTTTAGAAATTTAGGAGCATCAATAGCAAATGGACTATAAGAATGATGAAATGAAACAGCGATATAAAGGGCAAAAAACTTTTCGATACATACCTTGAAATCACAAATATAGTATTCACGACCATGAATGGCAACGTCTGATGGCTCCTTCATGTGGTTGGTGCAATCGAACCACCGAATAAGATCTCCATCCTCGGACATCACAAACACCGACGGTGTGACGCTATCGATCGCAACGATGTGGCCTAAATCGATCGTTATTCACTGCTCAACGACTTACCATGCTGGTTGATGGCCAGACCTGCGACTATGTCAATGTACTTTATTTGAATTCTCCGTACAAAGTGACCACTACGGCTGAATAGCTGCATTCTGGACCGCTCACTTCCTCGATCGCAGACCACAAAACGCTGGCTTTGTCGTATAATCGCTACCTTTCGGGGGTACCACAACAATCCATCGACTCTTCCAGACACACCGAAGCATGACAGGAATTCACCACGCTTAGTGAAAATCTAATATGGGAGGGTCTCAAAGCGAAAACAAGCACTAACCTGGATGCGATGATTGTAGGTATCCGCAACCACAATCTCTTCGTCAAAACCGAGACAGAATCCATGGGGAGAATTCAAACGGCCGAGCTCGCATCCAAGAGAACCCCACTTGGTCAGCAGCATCATGTTGCCACATCTGGCTGAACGCATACGCGAGTATTCGTACAGCGAAGCATTGTAGTTGGGCGGCATTTTGGGCCTGGAGAGAAGGGTGACCGTATCGAGATCCATGCCAGGACCCAAGGCCGACGGTGCGCGAATTTCGGGATGAGTGATGGCCATGCTCTGGTTCAAAAACATGGGATTGACTGACGGCACCGTTGATTTAAATGGTGATGAAACTCCGTCAAAAGTGCCTAAGTCCCCCCACGGCGAAATACTGTTGGTAGCATTGTTTATTGACTCGTGACGATGCGTTGCGATTGAGGGGCTACCGTTACCCTGGAACCTGGTGGAATCGATAGAGTTGTCCGGCAGAGATAGTGGCAACGGCTGTGTCACAAATGAATCAACTTGAGACACGCCGCGTTTGAGATCCAAGTTTTTAAACGCATTACTGATATCGTCACCAGGATAAACATTTAGAGGTGGCTGTTTGTCCGAGCAGACTAGCGGAAAAGGAAGCATGCGCTTATCACGATTGTAAGGTAGATCGAAGGAACCGAAATGGCTTCGTATAAATTCTCGAACATCGCCTGGAGCCTTCACGAACACTATTTTTGACGGCAGGTCAGACTGGAAGCTAACAGACTTCAAGTACTCCAAGGAACCAAGAACAGCTTTGACTAATTTGCTCATTTTGACTGTAGGACACTTCTGAAAATACGATAGGCAAAATTCGGAAACAAAGTCGATGTGGTCGATGGTCTTCCTTAAGTGGTTGATCTGAGTCATAAGTTTCATTTCAAAATCGCTGTGAACTTCACGGTTTTTCTGCAGCAGTTCCTCCTACGATGATAATAACTACCGTTAAAAACCGTTACCTTAACAGAATCGATCGCGGACTTCCAGGCATTGCATAATTCCTCGATATGCGCTTTATTCGTGTCACGAGAGAGGCTCAAGTCGGACAGTGCTGAGTGCAATGCATCCGAGGTTTCACGTAATAAATTTTGGTTCACACGACATTCGTTCAGATTTTCTGTTATGAAAACTTTGACGTGATTCGATATTCCACTCAGGCCAAAGGTAATATGGCCTCTGTGGTCGACATCACAAGTTTTGCACAGCGGTACCTACAGGTGTAACAGCTAAGAAAAGAACCTTACCCGGCACTGCATGCAGAACAAGGAGTAAACGTCGTTTGGATGGTCAGCGCAAGCCACGGCTTTTGTGGCCTCTGTGGATGTGTTTGCATCGCCAATATTGTTTTTCTCTTGCTCAGTTAAATCAAGCACTTCGTGAGAAGAGAACATTTTCATGACCTACAACATAATAATACAGAAAACACAGCAACTCACCTTGTGTGTGTCGCGACATCTACCGCACAAAGTTCCAGCGCATTGAATGCACCGATACAGGGCTTCTTTCCCCTCCGTACAAGCAGAACACATTAGAACACTGGTCTCAACAACATTCTGATCATTTTGTTCGACGACTGTCATGTCAAAGGGCTCGAGAGTCTTCAAGCCACCGGAAATTCTTGCGCATTTGGGACATTTAACGTATTCAGTTAAACCATCATGGCTTTGGTAATCAACCAAGCAATTTTGATCAAAAATATGCAGACAGTTCAGGATTAAGGGATCTTTAAGGGGATTGTTACAAATTGCGCATAGACGTGGCAACACGGATGACTCTTCAAGTTCCTCTTCCTTTAGACAATCCTCGGAAAACAGACCGAACTCCATCTTTTTCTGATCAAAATTGGCGCCCTGTATGAAACGACACCAGAGTCCGGCACGATGCAGAAATGATTAACACCAGAATGGGCGCCAATTCACAGGAAGCTAATTGTTTAAAATCTTTCATTTATCACTTTAGTTTGTCCAATTTCAGGCTTGTTCCTAAGGGTTACGGTAGGTGAGAGAAGGTGTTGGAGTATGTCGAAGTTGGGGTCATATAAAATAAATTAGAAACAGTAAATTCCATACATAAATTCGGATATCAAATATAAATAATTTTTATGCTAAAAACACGAAAGTGCATGGATTTTTAACTAGTTACTTGTGCGAGAGTCTTATATGGTTGATAGTGTCACAAGACCTTGCCTGATGGAACTGTATGTTACTATGCTGCAGTTTATTCAGTGCACAAATCCTAAGCACGTGATCTCCTCAGAACAGGTAAAAGGCTAGAAATTGCAGCAAGAGCCTTTACTGTAAAATTAAAAAGTTAAAGTAAAATCACAGGTAAATGAGTGCATAAAAGCATCCACTTATATAAATGAATGGGCGATCTAGGACTGTTGAGTTAAGAATGCTTAGTAATGAATCACAATTTGCAAATGTAAGCATGTCTAAAGTGACTCCTTTTTTTAAATTATTTTGTATTAACTTGAATTATCTTGGGAATTGTTGACATCGCCATCAACTCTCAACCTTGTGGTGTTTATGGGCGTTCCTAACATGCTGTTAATTTACTTTGTAGGCATTAACGACCTCTCTGATTTGGGAGGTTAGGCCAGTCAACTATGGTGTTCTTTTTGAGAATTTCGTGGGCGTCCAAATTGGTTTAGTTCGTAAATATAAAACAAACTTTAAGCAAGTTAACTGCCACTTTATTAAACACTACCACTGTGTATCATAATAGTTTGTACATAATCAGTGCATATTACAAGGCGAGATTCAATTTGTGTGCCATTTAGATTTTTCCTGCAATTTTATTAGGTTTTATTCGAAACTTTTCCACTTTTGTGATTTGCATAAATAGCTTTTGATAATTGTCAGGCATTATCGATGGTTAAGAGATGAGGTCTAAAGCTTATAATTTTTTAATCAAAATCCGGATAAATTTTTAAATGTCTAAGTTGAAGTGAAGTCCTAAGATCACTGGGATCTAGCGGCAAATTTGGAGGCATAAAGATTAGATTAAATACATTTACACTTCTGCGTAAATGCTTACACAGGCTTATTTTATAATAAATTTGATCATATTTCCATCACGATTTCCATTTACAGTCTGCCAGATTGGTAGGTACGAATCTTTTCCCTCATTCACACTAAAATTTTACAATCATAATGCAAGAGGTGTCATTAGGAGGCAAGTTTCTACCAGGTCTTATGAAAAATTTCAGAAAATCTCGCACTAATGAACTAACGCTTCCCCAATGCATGCATACTTCGGAAGCGGAGCTTTAACGATTCTGATTTTGACAAGAAAAAAATTGTCCAAAAACACTGATTAAATATTTAAAGCCTAAAAAATCTTACAATGATGTCAAACAAAGCTTCCTTTAGAAGAAAAATATAGCTTGTGGTTTTGAAAACATTTCATGTTTTCGGAAAGCCGCTCAGTAACTTTGTACTCAAGCTTATGTTCTTTGGAATTATGTTGCTTAATTAAGTATATCAAGTTCCTCTACCTACAACGTTTGAATTTTGCCACACTGAAATGAATTTTCTTTATTCTGGTCTATCAACTTTCTGCCCGCTTATTTTGGACAAACCACCTTGTCTTTTAAGAGCCTTCCTGTCAGTCATATGGATTGCCTCGTAACAGATCATTTAGCCATTTGTACTTTTATCAGTTTAGTCTGGCACTTTACAACAAGAAGTACCCGTATTATAACTAAGTTTATGCTTGTTGTTGCCTGTGCTCATAGGTGTTCATGTTCGATGTAATTATTGACCATTAACGTGTAAAAACATGGCAGCTAACAAGAAAACGATTGTGAAAGTTGGCGAAATAAGAAATTGACCAGACGAAGTGCAGACTGAAGCCATCGGATGAATGGACGTGTAACGACGCAATTCATTAAAAGTTCATTCAATCTGTTTTGGTCAACAAATTCATTTGTCTGGCACAGTTGAAAAATATGTTAGGCCATCAAGTAAACGTTTTTCTCCGCGATCTTTGGTATTCAAAGTCTTTCCTTGTATTCCTGTGGATTCATAACTGTTACAAAGCACTATTCAAATTCTTGCCATATGCACACTCTTTTGACAGATCAAATTCAAATCCGAGTCTAAACCGTTAAAATGTCGTGATTATTTTGTAATTACCCTTCAAATAAAGACAAACCCACGAAGGCCTACTTTGTTACGCATTCGCTGCAAAAAAAACCTTAATTCGTTTAAAAATTAAAAAAAAATCAGTAGGAATTTTAATGATTTCCTAATTTTACTTGGTACCATTTTATTTAATTTAGCATTCAGACGCGTGTCAAGAATATTTTTATAAAATGACAAATGCTACGTAGTTGCAGATATGTCACAAAGAACACGACAATTTTTCCAGATTGATAATTGGCGCAAATTACGTCACCTTTAATAAGTGAAGTCAAATTTATAATACCTTACCGGTAAATTGCGACCGTTCACGCTTATTTAGTATACTGACCCATTCTCCAAAACTGGCTCTATCACCTGTGCACTTCGTGCCTTCATCCGAATGAAACCTTAACTCACTCGTTACCTCTTCACCCGATGTTGTTTCAGAACACTACTAATATTTGTGCAATTCTTAGCCAAGTATTGAGATATAGTTTTGATCTAAAAATTTAAATCAAAATGACCATTTTTAATCATTTTTATTCAAGGTCTGAGAAAAAATTAGAAATATTCAACAAAGGAAACTATTGGCCTTAATATTCTAGTAGCAAATTACATTTCCAACGAATGACTGAACTTAGAGTCACTAGTGTAAATTTCAAAATCCAGACCTTTTTATATCAAAATAGGTACCATAATTAAAAAAACATCAATTCTAGCCATTTAAATTGTCAATGGCTATAAATGATGTTGATGATTTTGGCGAACCAATTCAGCAATTGTTTGAATTGGTTGCGAGAGGTCCGGTCAAGTCACTTTCGTTTGGCCATATTTAATCGGTCAAGGTTTTCTGTCGTTTTCTCGGTATCTGTACGTTAAAATAACTAGTATAATGAATTTATCTGAATTTTACGTGTTTTTTTGAAAATACTCACTTTTTGATTCGCACATTTTGCATGCAAGTGACATGCACAGTGTATACTATTCTGCTTTGTACTTATTTAGGTAGACAGTCACGACCGTTTTAATGGTTGCAAATTCAGTAATTTTTTCAGTTGGTGTGGTTTCGTAGCGTTATGCTAATACTATCTTGTTTCCTTTTGTCAGGAAGTCGTAATACGATATTCAAATATTTGAAATGGACGCCATCGGCGTTAAATCCCGTGCTGCTAAAGTCAATACGAATCAGCTTGATTTTATTAAAAGACACGTTATTTCGGTGATTGCAAAGGATAAGCTTGCATGGCCTTTTTTGAAACCAGTAGACCACCAAAAGTTGAACTTGCCGGTAAGATTTTTTGTACCTGACGGGCCTCGTTTTTAAGGATTATCCTAAAATCGTTAAGCATCCCATGGACCTCGGAACTATTAAGCAAAGGCTGAATTTAAAGTTTTATCGACGAGCCTCTGAATGTTTGGATGATCTGTTTACTATGTTTCGCAATTGCTATATCTTTAATAAACCCGGCGATGATGTCGTCGCAATGGCTATGAAATTGGAACGTGTGGCTCGTGACAAGCTACAAAATATGCCCTTCCCTGAAGTTGAATTATCTTCCCAAAAACCCAACACTAGTCAAGTCCCCCCCACGTCGAATATATCCAGCGACTCCAATTTGTCGATGTCAATTGTCAACAACGTCGAGGATTTAAACGGATCGTCTTTGGTTCCACCTTCAACTCCATCTGGCGTTGCGCTTAGTTCCCATCCAGGACCACTTACTTCCACCTTAAATAAAAAGCTACCCAAAAGGAAACCGGAGCCCCCTTCTTTGGATGACATTTCCTCTACTCCCCACTCAACTGATGATTCCAGAGAACGGCGGTTGGCTAAAAAGACAAAAGTCGAAGAGCGTGTGGTAGGGAAACGGGTTAGACTTTGTGAGTCCCTCAAACAATGCAGCAATCTACTTAAGGATATTTCTTCGGCAAGATACAGGGTAGGAAATTCGCTTGACGTATTACTTTTGCTAGCATTTAAATCAGCTCTTTTTGCACCCAGTGGACGTCGAAGGACTGGGGTTGAGTGATTACCACGACATTATTACCCACCCAATGGACTTGAGCACCGTTCGTTCAAAATTGGATAGTGGTATATACCAAAATAAAAATGAATTCGCTGCGGACCTGCGGTTGATGTTCAACAACTGTTACAAGTATAATGGTGAGACGAGTGATGTTGCAAGTGTTGGGAGGACGTTGCAGGGGATATTTGAAGAGCAATTCGCTAAAATACTGGACGATGATGGTGACGGTTCTGTTGATTCCCGGTCTTGTGATGCTCTAATTCAAACTGTCCTGAAGGATCATCAGCGTATTGTTGCCCAATATAACAAATTTGGCGAGGAGCTTCAAAAAATCAGCTCTAGCATCAACACAATCCTATCCATTCTTAACCATCCTGCTGACCAAACTCCCATAAAACTACCGAAAAAGGGTTTGTAGCCTCTTTTTTTCCTAACTGTGCTTTAGGGCAATTCAGTGTACATAATTCGGGCGCATTGTCGGGATACGACGATCATGTTAACAGGTATGTTTGCGTAATCTAACTAATGGGCTTCAGAAAAACTTCAAAGGCCTCACAAAAGGCAAAAAGAAAAATGCCAAGTAAGGTCTTTCTTCCCTATTTATTGTTCCCTCAGATGCATCTTACCAGAATGCTGTTCCGGCGCAAGTCTCCGGAGGCATTCCTGGCATTCAGAATGCAATGCCAGTCGCTACTTACGGCGTTGACGAGGGATTTGTTTCCGATGCTAATGTCCGTCCCATGACATACGATGAAAAACGCCAATTGAGTTTGGACATAAATAAATTGCCCGGCGAGAAGTTGGGCCGTGTTGTGCAAATTATTCAACAACGAGAGCCGTCCCATCGCGATTGCAATCCTGACGAAATCGAGATTGATTTTGAGACGCTCCAGCATTCTACTCTCCGGGAGCTCGAACGCTATGTCAAGTCTGTTCTTCAAAAAACGAAGTCTGCATCACGAAAGTATGCGAAAAAAAGCAATTCCAGTGCGCCATCAGCCAAGTCCCGAGAGGAATCGATGAAGAGAAAGGAGGAAGAGCTGCAAAACAGACTTCGGCAGATTGATGGTATGCAACTGAACGCTGGTGGTGGGTGTTACCCCACCCAGCACGGAAGAAAAAATCGTAACTTGCATTTACTAAGTTTACTTAATGTATTTGCCTTTTAGAACCGTCTAATCGTTTGAGTGCTTCCTCAAGTTCCAGTGACTCTGATTCCTCCACAGAGTCTAGCGGGAGCGAATCATCGGATTCCAAAGCGGACAGTGAGTCCAGATGAATTACCAGCGCTTTGTGTAACATAAGTGTTAATTTTGCATAGCCTCCAGTGACACGAGTGGTCCCTTTCGCTTGTTGAATTGATTTGTCAACTGAATAAGCTGCGCATTATGTCTGATGTTGCACCGTTGATGACCTGCTCGGGGGATGTCACCACCCAATTCGAGTAACAATTTTCTGCGAACTACATCTTGTCACTCTCTTGGCTGATGCCGCATGTACCTAGTGTATAATATGTGTCTCTTTCCATTCTTTATATTAAGTGCCCGAATTGTCCCCTTTCTGGCATTAACCCCACTGTCTTTGGGGATTGTATAAATTTGACATTTGCATTTTGTACAGCCTAAACACATGTAATGAAATCAGATATTTCCTTTTTTTCCTATTTGTTGGGTTATTGGTCGTCGCGTGGTTGTAACGTACAAACTTGTTACTTCTAGGCAATGATGGTCAGGTGAACTTTGAGAAACCTGTAGCTTCTGTATCCGCGTCCGGTGCGGGCTATTCGGGTGTTGGTGGGTCACATTTCAGCTCGCAACTCGAGCCGCGTCAGTTGCAACCATTTTGTTCCACTGCGGCACCAAGTACTGTCAACTTCGCGCCAGCTGCACCCCCTCCTCACGCTCCCTTAAAGCCCATCAGCTCGGAGTCTGCTCCGGGTGTCCACACGAGGCGGCCGCTCTCTCCCCCCACCCAGCAGGCACCACCTGCTAACGACGAGTCCTCGGACTCGGAGCCCGACGAGATTGACCGGCTTCCCCAACCAGCATGGGCGTGTGGCAAGCAACAGCAGCTCCAAGTCCCGCACCAACCTTCCGAAGCGGTGCCTTCCAGCTCCTCAAGCACCGCCTTCCTTCCCCAGTCAGCCTCTCAACTCGGGTTGCCAGCGGTTGCCAGCACCACTTCAATGATGGATCCCCTGGAAACCGGCGGCGGAGAGGCTCAGAAGGAATTTCTCGATAAGAACGCGGCGGCCCTGCAGATCGTGCGTGAGGCCAAACGGCAGTCACAGTGGACTTCGAAGATGGCCGAGGAACGGGCGGCAAGGGAGCGTGAGGAGGCGCAGCAGCGTCAGCGAGAACAAGACCAGGCAAAGGAAAATGAGCGTCGTAAGGAATCAGAAGCTAGGCGGGTAGAGGATGAGAGAAGGCGGAATATTGAACTTCGAAAGAGTGATGATAGGCTCAAGAGAGCGGTTAGTTCCATTTGATGCGATTTGATTGCTTTTCGTAGAACGGGTTGTCGTGTTAGTTACAGCGTCACCTGCAAATTTCACCGTCGTAGTATTTGTGGCTCAGTTTGGGTGGGTAGGGACACTCTTGTGGCAGGGTTTTTGCGTTATCCCTGGGAGTACACATGAACAGTGGCGTGGACTATTGTTCTTGACCTCAGGTAATCCTCATCAGTGTGCCACCTTTCCGAGGCTCTCATCTCCCGATTCTTTATTCCGCCAGCACTTTCCATTTCGTTAAAGCAAAGGAAGTGAGGTTTATGTCACTTGCTTGGTGAGTAGTTTGTCTGCTGCTGTGGTTTGTGTTTTTGTGTCCCCGAAGGCTGTCGGTGGTGTTCCACGTAACGACGGACCACCTGCTGCTGGGTTGCCTAACGACGCTTTGGGCTCCTTCAAGGGGTTCTTCCCGGCCAACCGTGTTTCCGCAACTGAAGCCCATAGCAACGTTTTTCCACTTTATGGAGGTGTGTGGATGCACGTTTAGGTTATCCGTCGAAAAATTTCACTTAGTCCTAAAGTCTCTGCATTCGAAGGTGGTGAGTTCTCCCCGTGGGGCTCATTGAAAGGAAGTTTGGCTCTGAATTGGTGTTTGCATCAATCAGTTTCCATTGACACACGGCAGCAATGTAGCCAAGGTATTGTTACGCCCTCAATGTATTCAGGTTCATTTAAGTAGCGTCTTTTCTGTCTTCGACGTGACTGTCACGCAGCTGCATTTTAACCCATAGTGTGTTCTGTGAAGTGGCGATCTTCCATGATACGGAGTAAGTCCGTAGTATTCTCCGGTAGATTCGACATGCTGCTTTCTAAGCAGACTCCGTAAGTGATCCCTAGTCGGGATACTGAACTCCAAAGACATTGGTCTTTTTGCGTTTACGCCCGTTTGACGTTGCCTGAAGTCCTAGGTACAGTTTTCTACTCGCAAAACTGAGGATTCCACATGTTGTTCCACGTCTGTTCGGATCAAATTTCCTCTAGCAATCGCATGTGGACGACATCTCCACTGTTAGCTCCACGCCCTCACCCCGCCACTGTGATGCCGGTTGGTGTGTTTTGCCGCGTGTGTTCAGACGGCTTATTTGTGTTTAGCATTGTCAATTTATGCGCAATGCGTCTTCATAGAGGAGCTTATTAAGGGTTGTTGGAGCCTGGATTGGAAAAAAAATGAACAAGGTCGACTGGTGACGCATTCCACGTTAGCGCGCTGCCGCCGCGTGCTAGGCAGCGAGTGGAGGGTGTGTGTGTGTGTTATGGCAGTGCGTTGTGGGCGTCTTCACCACGCGTCAAGCACGCGACGCTGACTGTGTTTGTGGCGTGCGACGTCTACCCCTTGTGCAGTGAGCACGCGTCATTGTGTGCTAGCACGTGCGACTAATTGGCTTGGACAATCTTGGTGTGTGATTTACAGGTCAAATGCACTTGGTTTGTGTCCGTTGGTGTGGATTGTAGACACTTCACTGCGTCTAAAATGTAACCAGTTTTTCATAGAGGCGATTGGCAAGTAGTATTCCTACTCTTATAGAATTAAGACCGCCACAGTTGGTCTGTTTACAATCTGTTTGGTGATGTCGTTTGTTAAAAAAAATTGATTTTCCCAAAGTGTTGTGATCAAGGTTTGTCGTTCAGTTTCCTCCAATGTGTCTGATAGCGTTAAAATTGAAACTGCGCGAAATTCACGAAAATGTGCATGGTTTTACACCTCAAGGAGGCGCCCACAGCGTCGTCTATGAAATCTCACGCGATGCTCCGCCAACCTTCGCGCGAACCGTTAGGTGCTAGTTGTTTAAAGCTGACACCTATGGTCCATTCGCACGGGTTAACCGTAGTTGGCGCATTGCCACTTTCCAAAGGTGTCAACTGCCTGCAATTAAGTGGAACTAGTCGTCTTTGAAACACATCAAACTGATTTATTTCGAATAATCCACTTGTCCTTCGCGGCATTTGATCGGCTGTAAAGGAAGACCAAGTTTATTCCCCTGTAGACGTGGTATTCTGAAAAATTGCTGACTCTTCCAGGCAACTTCTACCCAATATCGCGAAAATAGTCATATTCACGACCATGTCGAACGTCTACGTAATCTAAGCCACATCCAAACCCGTCCATTGAGACAGACCTTGTGGGTCTCTACTAATGAGTGTATTACATGCAACACAGCAAAAACGTACTGACAAGCTGTATTATCTCACTCAATCAGGAGACAGGTGTTCCTTGGATAGCATTGTACCAGTCGTCCAGAACCCTCGACTCAAATCTAGAGATTTGCGACCTCCAATTTCGCTCCAACTCTCTATGACCCTTTCAGACACCTCGCGAGAAGTAGAGATTGGTACTTCTGATCCATACACACACACTCCCATGACCCTGCTATCGACCCTCAGAAGATTCAACCTGCTTCGACACCTTCCTTGGACGTCCAATGTGGTGCTAGTTGATAGGTCGCGTTAAGGGACAGCGATTGCCGACCAGCATACTAATGTAGTGTGCCTTTAAGCAATATTGCTCACCCACTCGGAGTTTAATCAGTTCGTTTGGTTTCATCCTCGTGTCCTTGATTAGATGTTCAGTCGGTCGTGTTGTTCATTTGAGTACTGACTCGTAATCCTACATGTTCCTGGTCCCGTGCTTGACTGAACGGGGATCGTTTATCGATCGTGGCCCTCCTCTTATGACTGGTATGCTTGTCATCTTGCGTCCGTTGAAGGCTGTGTTCTGACACCGATTTCGTACGATGATTAATCTGCGCCTTAAAGGCGTCATTTTCGAACCCGCTGCTGAATGAAGCATGACTTGAAATGGGTGGCCTGCTGCATTTGCTGGAACGAATTTATTTGGTTCACTACGTTGTGGATGTTAGGATCAGGGGTACCGTAAAAATGTGGGGTTACTTAACGGGCTTGGGTAGAAGGGAAAGGTAAAGTGGCGTATAGCCGAGTTTGCAGTTGGTATGACTCCCTCTCGTCGTTTTTTGCTACCAGGCCATTCCTTCCGTGCCAGAGCGGATCAATGCCCACGAATTGTTGGCCGAATTTGAATCCACCATCGACCCCATCTACATCGACGCCAGCTTCGGCATTCGCCAGCTCCAGTAGGGGTGCCTGCGGGGCCTCCCGAATCCTCTCCCTTCTCCCACCCCCAAATCTCGCTGTGATACTGCGCCTCAGTGTCTCGCGTGTGCTCGCGATAAATTGTCGTGACAAGCACGCTTTTGCTGGGCTGCTTGTCTCCTTTTTTAGTGCTAACAATGCGAATTTATCGCCCTTGTATCATGATTGTACCTTTTTTTATTAGGTCGTGGTTGTGTGATTAGATGCATGTGAAACAAAGAGAAATTTGCTGTACTTGTCAGTGTTGGTGAAGTTTCAGCGTTTGACCAACTTAATTACTGACTAAAAATGTTACTGCCCTTCAAAATGAACCGTGTAGCCGTCCGCGTGCAGCGCCGTTTTATGGACGGAGGGGGTGAATATTTGCGCCAAATTAAACATCCTGATCGCATTAAACTAGACCAGTTGCCGGGACAGAAGTCGTGTGGTGACTCCTAAAAGTTGTAGTCGACGATTTGAAATGATATTCTCATACGTGGGTTGTATGATTGTATGTATGTGAAGCAAAGATAGGCTTGCTGTATTTCTGATGTGTAATATGAGACGCATACCACTAAACCTGAACGGTGTAGTCGCTATAACAACATTTGAGCGGACTACCGCCTGTAGTACTGTATCACGAACCAAACATGAGCACAATCGAGTAAATCAAGCATCGTAGTCACACTAAAGAAGTTCTTAGCGTCGTTTAGGCAATTACACGCCCATAGGCTGTGTGGCGTTTCCTAAGAGGTTTGCTGTGAGCTCTTTATGTCTGCGTTTCTCACTTCCCTCGACGGAAAATGCCAAATTGACACGTTGCAGTCCAAGCCAGTCGAGCAGCTGGTTCCGTGGTTGTTTGTTTGCAAAACTGTGGTGCTTGCGTACTTTTTGTGGAAAGTCGTGGATCGTACCAATTCACAGCTTAAACTTATTTTAAATCAACTGAAAACGGAGCGTGTACAGGTAATACATTTGACTACAAATAGCTAGCACATGTGTAGTCATCTTTACTTCTTCGTTGAAGCCCATCAACACGTTGGCACTCGGGTGAATACACTTTCGCTAGTCGGTAGATGAGATTTCCGCTCCTGGGCCCCGTAGTGGCAATTCTGTTCGCAATGAAGGCATTGGATGTGCTGGTCTACCTCGCCAACTACGCACCGCGCCTCCAGTTGAAATTCACCATCCTAAGACGACCCAACATCCTTCAATAAAGCTAGTCCACATCTACAATGTTACTTGATGGATCGACCAGTAACCGATGGTGTCAATGCAGCGTGTCCACCCCACGCGATCAACTCTTGACACCTTTTTCCCTACCCAACAGCGTCATATGGTCTATACATGCCATGTCAACTATGTGTACACCGTTGCATCAATTGCTTGCTGCATTAATGTGTGGAAACCAAAGCTAACCAAGCAGAGTAGTTTCGGGGATGCCTGTTTACAGGCCAGGTTTTCGCATGCTTGTTGCGTGAAGTCGTAAATCCAATCAGTTCACAACTGAAATTTCTTTGAAACGACTAAAAGCAATGCTCGTACTTGTACAAAATTTGAATACAAACAGCTAGCACAGGTGTAGTCGTCTTTACTTCTTCGGGATGACACCGGGATTCAAGTGTTCTAGGAACTCGGGGAGGATGAACTCGGTTTGAAAGCGTTCCAGGTAGAAGATGAAGACGCGCTGGCCGATGAAGATAGTCATAAACTTATCTCCCTCCTTGTACGCCCTTGCGGTGCGGACGCTGTTCAGTGGGACGTTGAATTGAGCGCCCCCACGAGGCAGACATCCGAACCATCCGTAGGTGCTTACGCAAACCATGTGATCCAGACTGCTCGGTTGCCGTGACAACAGGGATATTCGTCTAACCACCTGGCGCGGAATAACAGCACCCACGAAGAATGTGAATGCGCCTACAGATACAAATAAATACGTCAACAAGGAGATTTTGGCTCCGTCTCAAGTAGTCATCATCTCGTGAAGAAGCATTGCAGCATGCACTCTTGATAACAGTCATTTTGGGTGACCATAATTTGTCAAGTGCCACGCGTGAACAACAGGAGTACGAAAAAAATTTTCTTCGAAGAGTTCACGCACCCATAACGAGACAGAGAAGAGGAATCAACCTTTTTGAACTGTCATTTGTCTGGCTGATGCTGTTGTCGTTCTTCGCGAGTCCAAAAGCCAATCGCATCCGGCTAGCCATATCTTTCGACTCGGTGGCTAGGAGTGGCTCCTCTCCCTTCTTTGCTTGCTCGTCCGCCTCCTTTTCCACCCCCTTCTCCACCTCCTTCGCCTTCACCGCCGGTTCAGCTGCATCCACGGTGCTGGGCTTCCTTGGGCGGAGAATTATCTTTGCGATGGCGTCCGGCGTCCATGACTCAAGGCGGCTGGCGAGACGGCTGTTGAAGCTATTGACATCCGCCTTAATGGAATCCCACGTGATGGGTTCGGCCGACTTCGAAAAGAGGTAGCCTCCAAAGAGGCTCCAGGCGGAGCCTTGAAAGAGGCAAAAGAGGCCGAGAGTTCTGTAGAACCTGGACCGATTCGCCCCGACGTAGATGTCAATTGATGCCGAGGATACGCCGAGGACGCGGCGTACAACCACCGACTGGCAGGAGAGTAGAGCAGGTCTGAGACGGCAAAGCATTGACCTAGAGACAAATCATACACAGCCGGTGTGAGGACGGCGCTAAAAGTGATCCTGCGTGCGTTCTACATAATAAGTGCCATCAGAGGGAGAACGCACTCAGGTCCATACTAGCACATGTTAACATGCAGATGATACCACCGAACACCATATCCTAGAGAGGATTTCTAACGTCTAGCGAGTTTCATTTCTCAGAGTGACTTTCGCCAAGCAAGTTCGATTGCCTAATGGCCAATAATTCGAGAGTATTCCTTCGGTAACAACACTAACTTCACCACGTCATTTGCTCACTTCGCACCCACGAACGCACACTGATTTCTTGTGAGGTTGGGTCGAACTTGGATATGCGTCGCACTAATCACAATTCAGCCAAACTCTCGACCCAATAAGATAAAGTAGGAATTGGATCAAGGTTATATTGTTGTCTGAAAAACAGGGGGAATGAGAAACAGGGGGGGGGGACAAGTTGTTCATCAGTCAATGTCTGAGTAACTAATAAGATTTCGGTTGGAAGGTGAGGTCGACAAATGCTCTGGGCCCGGAAGGGTTCCACGATTAGGAGGTGACCTCGGTTCCACTCGATGGAATTTGCGTGGACCACCTGAAACGAAGATTAACTCTGTGAGAGGCGCTACACAAACACCCACAGATACATTTCGAAGGAAAACAGGCCTGAACGCAGGAATAGTCGTTAATTAAAACTGACTTAAAAACCGCAGTATCAGACTTCCCGAACCGAACAAGTCCAAAAATGTCATTGTTCATTCATCAGATAAAAACCACTGCCGTTTTATACAATGAATCATCAAATAATACCGACAAGACGCATTTCAAAGAGCAGTTTTTGATATAAGGCAAACGAGTGCAAGGACAATGTGGGTTCGCAAGCAGGTTCGTTAGTTTTAATACGCAAAGTACAGTATGGGAAATGTAATGGAATGGAAGAAAACTGCGACACGACTAACGAAAAAGGCCACTCCGTCGAGGTGAAGATGAATGTCAGAATAACTGTTGAAGGCGCGACCACCACCTGAAAAACGTCAATACCGCCACGTGCACAGAAGACGCCCTCAGACAACGGACACCACACGATGCATCAAGAGAAGCCATTTTCAATGGACTATCAAATAAAGAGAAAACTAGAAGGAAGCATAGAGCCCAGGCACACGACGATCAACAAGGGGGGCCTGGTTTTGACGGACTTGATGAGGAGCAACAGAGTGGATGCCAAGACGTACCCCTTCATACCGTCCACCTCGCACACTCGCGCTTTGCCAATCCACACAAGGGAGTTTATTCAATACCAGGCCAAACGCGTTAACGAGGAAGTGCGTTGTTGGAGCAAACCGCTGAAAGAGGGAAACTGCCCGAACCACACGCCTCGTATGAGTGACACCTACTCAGCCTACAGTAATATGGTTCAACGCGATATCAACAAGCAGTTGGGTCTTGTGATGCGAGATGTATCCAGGAATGGACAATTTTTCGAGTCCCCCGTCACCCACATACCCAAGCACCCAATTGTAATACACAAGGAGTGTTTGGAAAGGGACCACAAGACGCCGGAGGGCTTCTCGCGAGTGCTGCAAACCTCAACCATTCAGTGTCGACTCGGCTGTCGCACGAAGCCAATGTGTGACTGGTCCGAAGTAAGCAGTTTATCCGGCAGATTATTGTATTGATTATGTCGCGGACACAAGCTGTCCCTAACTTGATCACTTCATTTTTCTCTAATATACGAAAGACTTTCATTTTTCGGGAAAGTGCAGTGGCAAATTTTGACGCAAAGGGAGGAATCAGTTGGTTCGTAAAACGGATTAAATGCAAGAACACGAGGACGATTTGTCATATACCATCAATGTGTTAAAATTGTCCGCGGTGGGAGTAATTAGACATATGAGTAAGTGATTGTTTGATTTCGACACAAGCGCCAACAAAGTGGAAAACAGCCTTTAGGAGGCTGGGTGAGAAATAGACGAGGAAAATAATAAGTAACAAAAATTGGGCATAAAAAAATGGCACAGTGAAAATAGCGATCTGGGCAAAGGCATTATTGGCTGCTAAAAAAATGATAAAGCGCTATAGAAAGGACGGATTTGTGGGCTCAAATATGAAATATTTGAAAATTATCGGATGGGATTTAACTGACCCCAGGACGGAGGCCTAGGCGTCTGGTGAGTAGGACCGACATCAACATTGCCGTCGCGACTTTGCTGTCGGTTGCGTCGGGCGAAGTTGACGCGGAGACGATGGTTTTGATACTTTGATTTGTCCAACTAAAAAAAGATAATGGCGAGGGAATTCAATTAACTTCCTGAAACACTTAAACTACACTGATTATTTTTAATACAACTGCCAATCTACCAACAGCTGATCTGACCAAAATTGAAAACACCGACTGAATTTTGAGTAAACGCCATAACACAATTAGATTTGTAAACCAGACGTTGAAAATGCGGGAGATTGCGCCAAATTATTGTGTCTTACAATATGCAATGCATATAAATTCTAACCTTTAGGGCTTTTTCGGCCATTTCTTCGGAAGTCAACGTCACAAAGGCGTAGCTATTGCGGAAGAAAAGGCAGATGACGAATAAGGACAAAAAAATTGAAGAAGGACTCATTCAGTCGAATGAGAAAGGAATAAAAAAAGATTCGTGTGAAAAGCCAAAAATCGAGAATTCTTTTGCAAACATACCATTTGTTTTCGTCCAGATGGATATTAAGGATTGGACCATAAGGCTCAAGGATTTCACGTACAGCTGACTCATTTATGTCGCTAAAACTAATATAGATGGTCGATCCATCATATTTTCGGTCCTCTCTTCCTTGCTCTAAGCGTCCAGACGGAGGCGGCGAGCGTAGAGTCGCCAGATTTGCGGTTCCAAACACAAAAGTGCTTGGGGTTTCCAGTGAGCTATCAGGGGGGCTGTCAGATAACTTGCGTTTAATCGGAGACGGAGCGAGAGGGGGATTCATAATTTCCCCCGAAACGAAATTGTCATACAAATTAAACCTTTTTTCTTTACCTAAATCTAAATACGTATGTACGCAACTTTACAATGAATAACCTGGGGATTCATCGGTTTCATTGTACACTTTTCCTCTAACTTTTCGCTTAAAAGTATCCGGAACGCTTGAAGGTGGGAGGGATATAGCTCCGGACTTCAAAAGTTTCATCGCCTCTTCTTTAGCTTCTTCTGTAGATCGACAAGCTACCAAAAATAATAATGCAAAAACAAAGCCTACGCCTTTGCTGCACATCGGGCTTAACACGCTGAGCTGATATTTCCAAATTTAAATCGCTCAGAATTTTTTTCTAAACGATAATCGATTTACGGACACGCACTGCTTGCTTAAACAGCTTAATTTCATTGCGGAGAGCGATTTCTTCATCGCTTAATTGAGAACTCAACGCGGGCATGACTAAAGAGTAAGATTAAATAAACTTACAATAACCAAAGATTTCATCGACATCAATATTGCTAAAAATGTTATATAAAATTAGAAAAATACTTAGAACAGTCTTGAATTTCAAGCAAATCAAAATCCACCACCTTTGCCATTTTTTCGCCAATAAAATAACAAAATTACCACGCTAGAGATTACCAATTAAAACACCAGAGGCACAGATGGACTTTGGGTAAAAAAATCAAACTTTTTACTTCATCAAAACACTGCTGTAGCACAAAATTTATTTGAAGGAGGAGTGATACTTAACAACTTGATTCCAGCCCTAGGTGTTACTGTTCCATATTTAGTCGTGGAACAGGTAAAGTTGGTATATTCACCATTATCTGATTTCCCATTACTCAAATTTTCTATATTGTGGATTATATTTTAGGACTAATAAGTTTTGCCCAATGTTTTTGGAAAAATCCTTATAAAAGATTGAATACAATGCAGCCAAATTTATATCTGCCGATAGCTACCAAGCGGTCTTAAAAATAGTTAAATGTTCATATAGTAGCGCTAGACTCATTCGCAACCAAACTGCCTTGTCTGCTCTATTGGAAAAATAAATCATTGTTGTGACCGTTTTCATAAGTTAAAATAACTTAGAGGACGGAGGTTGCTAAATATGAGTGAAATTGCCTAAATGTACATTTAACTGATTGTAATCTTGACTACTAAACCTACTATTAAAGATTTCCAAATGTCTTCGAAATAAAATAAATTCTAAAAATTAGATACACAAATAAAAGGGTTTATGACAGAGGTCGCTATTTCTTTACTCCTACTTAAATCACTACCTTAGTGTTTCCTTGATAAGTTACCATTTCTATCTATAAACTGAAGGTGAAGTAAAATTTTACATTAAAAATACAATGCATCGTGCTTTTAAAGTAAATCTTTTTTTTTAACATTTGTTAAACCATAAATGTTAATTTTTTAACTTGTTTTGTTATACTATATCAAAATGATAGCATTTTAGTGGTATTTTTTAAAGATGTTGTCGGGTTTTAAGGTGTCGAGGCTCGTTTTCGGGAATGTCGTTCTTAAAAGAATGATATCTATGCGTTTAAAAAGTGCCCTGGAACTCCATGAACCGTGCGCTCCACGACCTGATTCTTATCCCAAGTGGTCTTCATCGCCTTCGGAATTGTTCACGGAATTACGCGACGGTATGTGCCTTCACAATTTTTATTTATTTGGTAGGCCACTCAATATTCCTTCAAGGAGCTTCGTCAACTCCAAATATTTTAATGGATGCCTTATCAGAGCATGTTTTGAATTCCGACTTAAAGAATTTGAAGCTCTTCCAATTTTACCCTCTTGGCCCCACCCCATTTCTTTCCGACGCTTTTCAAGGGAAAATAAGGTTATCAACGGCCTATGGAAGTACTGTCGATCTATTCTGTGTTAATATAATCTGTTAGGTAAATACTGCCGCGATGCTGTGAACGAGGGCCTTGCCGACTTCATACCAATAACTATTTCCGAATTGCCACTTCTGTATCGCCTTAAGCATGTCAATTTTAAATATGCCCTAATTATGGTGTCGCCACCAGACAAACATGGCTTCTGCACCCTTGGTTCTGCTGTTGGCAGTGCTCGATCTGCTATCCAAAATGCCGAAAAAATAATTGGTGCGCAAATTTTCTTGTAGTAAACGAATGTGTCTGTTATAGCGCAAGTGAATCCTCAAACGCCGATAACTTACGGTGATTCCACAATACATATTAGTCAGATCGATTACCTGGTGCAGGGCTCCGAGCCACTTTTTGAGGTTCCTCCACCTCAGGCAACAGCAACCGAGCAAAAGATCGCTGCGATAATTGCGGAGCAACTCATTGACGACGGGGCAACTATTCAGCTAGGTGAGGAGACATTATGCGTAGTTTTATCGTTTTGCTTTGATGCCCTTTTATTGCGTATTTTATCCTTAAGGTTTCGGTAATATACCACCAACAGTTGCGTCCAACCTGCGTTCCCACAAAGACTTGGGTGTTCACGCGGAAACCATTTTTGATGGCATCGTCGATCTGGTCAATCTTGGTGTAGTAACGAACAAATTCAAACCTGTTCGTCCGGGACGAATTGTTGCTAGCTACGCTATTGGCACGAAGCGGATCTACGACTTCATCAATGAAAATCCTCTTGTCGGTATGGGGTTTGAATAGAATTATGACTTTAGCGTGCTTTAATGGATGTTATTTGATTGCCTGTCACACGAAATGATGTTGTCTTGTTAGATGCCAATTACTACAAAATGTCTGATCCGATAATTTTTCCCACCCAAGACAGCGTCGACAGTGAAGCTAACAAAATGAGGAATGAATTGAACTGTTCACAAAAAAGTTACCATATTTACCAACCCACGGCGCATTTAAGTTAATCTGTTTTGGTTACCGGTCTAAATGACTCATCTGGGTGGGTACAAAATTGCTCTTCTTACCACTTGCTGATTCGTGCCGTTTCACCCCTTGGTACAATGTGCGAACCACTTAACTACATTGTATCGAATTGTTTTTTAATACTCATCGACCATGTTTATAGACTGTCAGCGATGCAATCGTGCCCTCTTTCAGGTCTCTACGATATCGCCTGGACAAATTCCACCGAAACAATTGCCCGAAACCCCAAAGTTACCTCGGTGAACACGTGCATGGAAATGGACCTCACCGGTCAGAGTGTTGGTGACGGTATTGGTGGACATTTATACAGCGGTGAGTGTCTGCCTTTGCACACGATGCCTAACCCTGTCCCCATTTGCCCTCACAACTTCGATTGTTTTTGATTGGGTAGTATTTTGAACGAAACAGACATGTCCTTCGACAGCCACACTAACAAGCAACAGTTGCTCTTTGGTTGAACGCTAAATGCACTTTCCGCTTGTCAAGTCGCATTTCTAATATCCTCCTTGTACAGGACCGGTGTGTTTCAACTTCTAGTATTGCCAGGTCCAGTTGTGCATTGTCACATTACCAGTAGCAACTGTCTCTACCATATGAACGTATCTATCATAAGTGGTGTATAATTGTGGCTTGGTAATTGAGTATGCTGACGCTTTAAGCACGTCTCTAGACTAGTCTCGGTTTTCTGGCACCCATTGCGCCTAACCAAAGACCGATAGCGGCGATGTGGTGTTTCGGGGGGTGGTGACAGGCATCCTCTGTCAAGCCGGAACTACTTAGAAGTGGTCCCACGAGACGGTGTGCTTGGACTCAGTGGTCTCGGAACATTGCATTTTTTTTAATTTGGAGCAGGGACTGAAGGGACATTGTGGTCGCGAGGCCATATCTAGCCCAATGAGTGTAACGTCGGTTTTATCGTTAGTCGACTCTTCACACGCCAATTAACTGGAACATGTCAGCCCTTTTTTTCATGTTGTTGTCAGATTTTGTTTTTGTGGGATTCGCTCGTGCTCGTGGTCAACATCGTGATGCACTTTAGAGTCGGGGTTGTTGTGGTCTGAAGTATGCGTGACACGACTCGTGGTTATTGCCATCTACTGCTGTAAGCAGTCTGTGTGCACATTTGTAGGTCTCCGTATAAGTTGTTCCACATTCAATCTTGATGCCTTAACAGGTTCCTTTCCTGAATTTAATGCCCCCTTTGTCGTAAACTGGCTTTACATCATCCACCTGCACTAATTTTGTTCAAACGCCCTGCTTCCCATTACATTCTGACAGGTTGAACGCTTTGGTGTCAGTTTTGAAAATCTCGTTTCTGCATCAGAAACTCGCATCTCTTTATACCCAATCTTCATCCTCCAACACGCTTGATTCGACAACAAAGTATTTGTTCTTGCCTCAATTTGTGTTCGCTTCAAATTAGCCTTGTAATTCAACGTCCGTGCGGCGGAGGCCATTGTGTTAGTGTTTGTCGCACTTTGTAAGGAGCCCTCTCTTCAAACCTTCAGGTTTTGTGTAGTCTGATCGAGACATTTTGGCGGCTTGGTCAGAGCCAGACTGCATTAGTGACGGTACCAAGTGTGTAAATCACGTTACTTCCAATTGCGTGCGTACTGATGTCGGTTCCTCTGATTTGCTCACATCAGACTCGCTGCCATTAACCTGAACAAGTGCTTGACGCCGACCTCGCATGTTCCAAGGCCTGGTTGCTCTTAAATGTCAGTTTGCTTTCACGAGTGCAACACGCTGCCACATTTGCATGGGTAGTTTGTGACTGAATGTTAATCTTGGAGAGGTACCTTCTGCCGTTTCCACTCACATCTAGTGTGTCTTCATTCATCGTTCCCTGAGTGTTTGAACCTTAAAGTGGTTTGATTTTACACTTGCCTAACCAATATATACTACGAGAACCGTTTTATAAAACCCACGCTGTTGTACCATTTAGGTGTTGGCGGCCAACTTGACTTCACACGTGGAGCCTCACTGTCGTCGGACGGCTTGGGACGGCCGATCATCACGATGTGCTCGCTAAACAGCGACGGCAACTCGTCGATTGTGCCAACTCTCAGCCGCGGAAGCACCGTGGTTGCCACTCGGGCCCACGTGCACTACGTCGTCACCGAGTACGGCATCGCCAACCTCTTCGGCAAGACCCTGCGCCAACGGGCCTACGCTCTCATTCAAATTGCCCACCCCAAGTTCAGGTGGGTTATTGGTGTGCACTCGATCCTTAGGAAGGGATTATGCAGACAGAAATTCCGACAGTGCATTACTTGTTCTGCGTAAAAACACCTTTTGTATACCCGGGGATTCGCGTAGTGTTGCGCTGATTTATTGATCATAGGCGGTTTTGTCTGTGTCCGCCTCAGTGTCGTCTACGTAGTCGTGTGATTGGACGCCTGCACAGACACATAATTTGTCTTAGCTAGTCGCCTAGTCACACAGCCACGCGGAGGATTAAAAAAAACTTGTCAAAGGCAAAATATCATTGACACACGACATTCTCAGTGCAGAAGGCAAGGGGTCAGTTCAACTGAGAAGGCAACAATCCCGAGGGCAGAGTATCAATTTGTATCACGATACGCCTATTAGGAGCTGTATCATCTCTTAACACCGATGTGGAATTTAAGATTTCATTGTTCCGCCTACGATTGCTTAATACCCCATTCGCCGTTTATTTGTCAAACCACAAGGGTTGAAACCAACCTCAGTTCTCTTACTAATCTGTGCTTACAGATGTTGAATTTGTGCAGACTCTCTGGCTGAATCTAATGGCGATTGTTGTCACTTTCAGAGAGTCGCTTGAGAAGGCGGCTTTTGAGCGCCTGAAGACGATGCCGTCACCGTAATATTTACTCGCCGCCAATGATAATAGCGCCAGTCGCCATCCCGGTTTCCTTCTTTACTCTATACAAAAAATTTTCATATCCACCGGTTGTAAGCCAACGCTTTTAAAAGGTTAATAAAGCTCTGTGTTTTACCACAATTTCACCTTGTACTGTCTTATTAGTTTTGCGACAAGGTGCTGCACGAAGTACCCAAGTCAGAAATGATGCCTACACGTCGGGGTCTCAATTGCTTACTGTGTCAATGAAAGGACGGCGTTTTGTGTTGCAGTTGACTGAATCCACGTTCGATCATGTCTGGGAAGAATGTCCGCGAGCTGATGGCCGCATCTGTCCTCCTTGGTGAAAGGAATTGATTTATTCGTCCATCCTGGTAGTCGAAATGTCTGTTGGAACGGTTGGGAAAATTCACTGTTTCTAATCAAGACTAACAAGCGCGCCTGGGTCCTGGTCGAGGAAAGCCGGCTTGAAACAACCGACAGGTGCATTTCCTTTGCCATAGCGTTCGACGATAATGGCATTGTTGTGGCCCTCGAATGTGGTCTTGAACCACGCCGGGGCGAATGAGGGGGGAGTTGGGGATCAGCGCGGCTGGCAAACATGCTGTGAAAGAGGAACCCTCTGACGGAGGATGGAGCGACTGGTTTAAGGAGTGTAAATGAACACGATTCACAGCATCATTTTCTTGTCCTTGAAGTGCTCTGAGAGGTCTGTCGTAGGTGGGTTGCAGTGATTAACGGGTGGCATCTTGCCTGATGAACGCGTTGGCATGCGGTGGGGGTCGACCCTGATTTTTTGCTTTAGAAAGTGCTGTCTACGGGATCCTTTGTTTAGAAATCTTGGCAGTCGCGTGATTAGGCCTCCAGAATGCAACAGTCCCCATAAGCCATCTCGACTCCACTTGACGGGCCTATCCGGATGAGGCTTCCCAACTGCCGATGTGATAATCACGACCACCTTGTCTTAGATTGTCGTCAGGCACATTTACATGGCAAATTTTCGTTGCAAAATGCATTCGCATCCACCCGTCATAAAATGTGAGCCCGTAATTGACTTGCTTTACGGCTTTAGAATCAAGACCGTGCATGAAATATGGATAAATAGGTGCTGTGTTGTTAGTGATACTGCAGTATTGTTTACTCTCTGCAAACGTTTATTTATGTTTGCGGGTAGTCGGACGAAGTAGTAAAAAAACCCGATATAACTTTCGCTGAAGTTGCGTTGGCACGGCTGCCGTGATGCAAATACAGGCAGCTGCGGCACCATGCCAATTTCTTAGCCGATGTTGCACACACGTGCCTGTCTAACCACCACCAGTAGACATTGTCGGCTAAGGGTTCGCTTTTACGTCAATGAAAAATGAACCAATAGCATTTAGACTGCCACCGTTGGTAGCGATCTTAGGTAGGAGTCATTGTCAGAAATCCTAGTGGTCTGTGAGGAAGATCACCTGCCAGCCATAGACAGGCTTGGGAAACCACTCACGGTGAGCAGTAGGAACCAATAAGAAGCAAAGGGGAGCCAAGAAGTAATCGTCATATAATAAGATGATGCGTCGCTGGTCACTCCGCCACATGTTTGAAATCAAAGTAGCTGTTTTCCTGATTCCCTCTATTTGCCGCGTCCAGTGGTTAGATATCTTGAGTAAATCAAGCCATTTGTTGAAAATTGGCCCACTAAATTTTGTGCATCAATGAATTCACTTTCATTTTAATTTTTTGGTTTTAAAGAACCAGCTAAGAGGGTGTAAATGCTCCTAACTGTGGCGTATTGAGGTTTGATGGCCCACACGCATGCAATGCGAGCATGCGTAATCTACTTTATTTGAATCTAGACAACTCGTGCTTCTACTCACAAGCTGGTAGACACGTGGTTTTACCAAACAAAGCAGTTGTTGCTGTTTCACACATAAATCAAGGGTACTTGTGCAGACACTCGACGTCGAGACTACTCAAAAGGAGTCTGCGTGGGGTGGACTTTACCGAAGCCGTCTGAGGACCGACTCATTCACAAAAATAATAACTGAATGCTACGAGCCTTTGTTCACCTTGGAAGTAACACCATAGCAACATGAAATTGATCATCAATTTTGCGATGGATATACACTAGTCTCTTGCAGAGTATATGGTAGATTTCATTGAGCAACCTCAGCTCTCTCACAGTCTGCTATTGGCTGCCCTGCCGTCTGGACCAGTAGCCATAGCGACAAAAAGCCGTCTCTGTCACCAATGCGGACATCACCTCACGCGTATGTGATAGGCATCGCCACGATTCCAATCAATTAATCCAGCTGTTTACACCCCAGGGCATCCACCGACCCGATTCTCATTTTTGTATAACCACGTAGAACACGTTCCACCTGTCAAATACTCAACCACAGGGTAACACTCGTAACTGCATGTAGCATGGCACCCAGAATTCCCATCACAAAAACTCTTGCATTGCTTCCTCCACATGACAAAGCGACAGGACGATTTGCAATCGACTAACAGCAAAACATCCATGTGATTGGTAGCCGATACAACATTCTCACGGAGCGGCAAGTGGCTCGTCGACAAATCAGTTCAGAAGAAAAATAAGGCAAAAACAAGACTTAACATTGGAACGCGTTTTAGTGTGTTTAAGGTTTAAAAATACAATGACTGCACAAAATGGGATATAACGTGCATTGAGCAAAATGCAATGTAAATAGTTCAGGCCTCTGTATCCATCGCGTCGCCTACAAGACAGAAAAGTAACTTATAATACCTACTACATAAGTTGTGCGTAGGGTGTTTTGTTAAGGCAGAGGAAAACCACGCACCAGTTGGTTGGACGGCGCTGGCTGGCTGTGCTTCATTAAACATAAACTCTTCTTGATATTCCTGCAAAAACAACGTGGACCGCGCCTCGTCCATGAAGAGCTGATACACCTTCCGCACATCCTCCTTATTAACCTCAACACCCTGAGCAAACAGATAAAAAAAACAATCTGAAAGTTGAGACATTCGAAAACAAATGATTAATTTTACGCACCCCCAGAATGGTACGTCCGAAAAAGCTCAAATCGACGCTAAGCTGGACGTGACACTTTCGACACGTCACCTCTCAAATTACTCATCACTGTAAAGTACTGATGCCAACTTCGGAAAAACAATCATTTCTGAGTATAACTACACTATTTCAGATTAGGAGCTTTAACTGATTTCACTAAAGACACATTAATGTGGGCAGCACGAAATGCGAATAATGTACACAATAAATGCAACTGAAAACTTCACAAGAAGTTCTGAATGGAGACTGACCTTTCGACGACGGCAAACAAGGCTGGCGGTGGTGATAAGTTGAATAGCATATCGCAGGGATGTTTGCAAGCCGATTCGTGTGAGAACGACAAGTGCGTCTTCCGCAATATCAACATCCTCTTCTTCACAACGAATCTTTAAAATGGCCTGGATCTCCTTCTCAGAATAGGCTTCTGTAGAAACAATTAGGAGACGATCGAGCAAATCAATTGGAATTCCATGAGGGCTCTTAAAATTGGTTCCACGAATCCTGAAACAGACAGGATGGGTAAAGACTGATCGTTAATGAATGGTAAAAAAAGAGTTAAGGAAAAGTACGCACGTGGTGATTCCACGGTTAGTCGCCATTATGAGAATAGGGGCCATGTCTGATTCAAGCGCTCGATTAAGAAATGAAAAACACTCGATATCAAGCATGTGAACTTCGTCGATAAAGAGAACCTAAATGACAAAATTTTTTAACAGGTGACGAGTACGAATACGACAAAAAATACTCGTTCATTAACTTACACCTGGTACAATGTCTGCTTTGCCCTCTTCTCGCCATTCAACAACTTTGGCGTTAATTTGGTCACGAACTTCAGATTTTATCTCTCCCGTGTCACCACTGAACAATGCCAAAAATCCTTGTGTGCGACTATTGATCACATCGATTTCATGTAATGTAACAGTGTGAACAACTTCTTTCCGTTTTTGGAGTTCACCTTCAGGACATTGCACGAACTTAGTCTGCATCCCAGTAGCGTCATAATCACGAGCTCGTGCAAAAGAACGCCCCAGGCGAGTTATTTTGCCGGATGGCTTATCGATTGTGATAACGTCACTATTAGCGAGTAAGTTGGAAAATAAGCACACTTTACCCAGCCTGAATCTTTTCCTTTGCTATACAATCAATCATCTTTTGACCAAGGTCGTAAACAGTTTCCATTTCAGTAGTTTTTAATGTCAGTTTGCCAACTTTTGCACCGGTTCCAGTTGCAGGACGGTCGATCATAATTTCAACAACTTCACCTTCGATTATCTCGGCTTCTTCTCTAAAAAAGTTTACCATATGCAAGATAATTACTTGATGCGGATACCAATTGACTTCCGGAAGGCCTGTGTCAGAGCCTCAGTTTTGCTCATTTCAAGCGAATAAATCTCACTTCCAGCCATTGCAGTAAAGGGAGTGTCGCGTCCGAGAGCCTGAGCCAAACCCATGGCGATTGCAGTCTTGCCTGTTCCAGGAGGACCAGCAAGAAGGACCGCACGACCCGCGATTTTCCCCTCGCGAATCATTCCCAAAACAATGCCCACTGCGCGTCGGGCCTTGCATTGGCCCACCATTCCCTGTGAAACTTGTCGCGCGTCCAATTCATCGTTCAATCCAAGGCCACGAATATGTGAGTGAGCACCAATGCGCTCTATCCGTGTGATATCGCGCGTTGTGGCCTCCTGTAGTGACTTCTGAAGCTAAAAAGCAACAAACAATGGGATGCATAGCAAACCAGTCTAGGATAATATACACACGCAACATTCGCCAAAAACTCACATTGGCCATTTTTCAAATTAGCCGCCTCTGGCAAAAGTCTTAGTACACAAATGACTTAATTAGAATTAACAAACATAAATTTTTGATTTTTGAACGTTGCCTACCTGCCTAATTTTTTTCGTAGACCGTTTCTGAAAATTTACATTAAGATAGATGTTTAATTTCAAATTAGAAGGTTATTTCATAAATAAAATATCGTGATGACAATAGTTGCGAATGGTTATGCCGGAAAAACAATGGACGAGGGAAACGGCCTGATTTGACAATACTTCAGCATTTATTTACCCTATGGAACTTTACTTAACTAACATCCATTTTTTTTTAAATTTCAAAAAGGATATTCTACTTAAATAGGACAATATGCATGACGAAAACAAATAATCAAGTGACCAAAATCGTTATATGTCCGCTAAAATCCACGAGAGGTTTGCAATTTATTTTGTAGCTGCCTTTCGTTCGCCTGTTGGTAGACAAGTGCTACTCCTCTAAAGTGAACTATTGACTATAACCGCATTGCGTAAAAGTAAGCGAAATTTTCATTATGGACGGGAAGAGACGGATTAAATTATCCGATTGTCCAAATTTGTCTTCTGTGTGAAATTTTCATCGCTATAGTTCTCTACTTTTTTGCAACATATGAAGAGTCGATAGAAATTGATGACCAACTCGATGGCCACCTATCGCAATGTGATTTATCTCGAGATTCCTGTGTGATTGTTACAAACGATGAGGCTTTGATGCACAATCATTTCAATATCGACGCCAGTTAGGTGTGTATACGTATATATTTGCCTATGATATGCTGATGAGGTAAAATTTACTCGGGCGTTTTTTTAAACGACGTCGGCGTGTCCAATAACGTAGGCACATTGCCTTCCATGAAAAACCTGTCTCGCGATTGTCTGCGATGAAGCAGTTGTGGTCAGCATAACTGTGTGGTCAAGAAATTAAGCGGATGTTATGCTCTTTTGTGTCTGATAAATAACTTCTGAGAGGAAGTGTCTTTAGATAGATATCTATGGATGGGTTAGGGTTTGATTTTCCGCAGCGTCCTGAAGGCCATCTGTATAGTTGTCAAATGACTGGTTTGATATTGCTCACAAGAATCACTCGTCAGGAATTTTGATAACCTTGTTTGCAGAAAATAATTCAAGATTTGCTTAACGAACTGAAACAGTTTGATCCAATTTGGCATCACTAAATTAACAGTGAACAATTTCTACCATATCATTTGCCGAAAGATGGACTGTGGTCATTTGTGTAACTGTCACTACAGAAGCCTAGTACCATTTCTTTACATATTTAGTAATAAATATGGCAGTTTTGATTTGGTATGGTGATGTCATTTTTGTCTATATAGGTTGCTCCTAGGTGAAATCAGCGCTTGGCAATGTCAAACAACTCTAAACATCTATAAATATTAAAATTTTTGTTGAATAGTGTATATGCAGTGAGTCCACAAATGCACTAATAGAGTGCACGTGAGCACTAAAAACTGAAAATGCAGGAACTGTAAGATGTGGTTTCTGAGTTACTTGCGACAAAATATATTGGACATTATTCGCCACGATTTAATCCACTATTTACTAGGTTTGAAATTGACATAAGATTTGACATAGTAAACTGGTCATCTACTAGTTGCCATTTCTCGATTGTGATCATTTTTTCAAGGAAGGCATTAAATTGAAATAAAATCCTCTAGAAGTAATGGGCAGCATTCAAAGAGCGTGGTTACCTAGATATACTAAAAATAGATTTACATTTGCCTATTAATGTGATTCCTGGAAAGAAAGGCCTCACGTTAATGCTGAGCTTGTTTTTTTAGCACCAACATTCTCTAGGTCGCCGGTGTGCTCAAACAACGGATGTGTGTTTGGTATTTCGGACTTGCTGTCGTCATTGTAGCATCGTAAGTTTAGTCTTAGTGACTTGTTCTCATTGGTAAAGTAACAAAACGATTTTGTTAAATTGTATTGTCGTGCCATTCAAGTACTTAATGTTCTCACACCTCAATGTTAGATTAATTATTCCCCTTGTCCTTCTACATTAAAGTTTGAGTTGTATTAAATCTTGTGCTTTTGTCTTTAAAAATAATTTAGGGGCATTTCACAACACTTTTATTCCTGATGCAGACGCTTATTATTTGCATCCATATTCCTGTTCTGCATCTTACATCTGCTCCTATTTCTATCGATGTACTTATCATTACGCCTGATGACTCGTCACATATAATTTCACCAGTTTGACATTTTAATGTTCACTAAATGTAAAAGGCAAATTTAACAAAGCCTATCATCTTTACACAAACATATTAATGGGTTAGGTAACTCATGAAATCGTCATTTATGCTTGCCTCTTTTAGATTCATGTATTAAATTCCTCTTTTGAATTCAAAATGCATCAGAGTCGATTTTCGATTAAAGTCTACTATCAGACATGCATTTCCTTGCGGGAGTATATTTTATTTCAAAGTTAACTGTCTTTTGACCTCTTTTTTTAGTAGACTTTGACATCACAACCTCGTTTCATCCAGTTACCTCCGTTGTTTCCCTTAACTGTTCGTTAATATATTTTCCATAAACACTTTCACAAGTATGATGAAGATCGTCGTAGCATTAATCCGCAAATGCGCTCGCTAGCCGTCAGTCTCAAAATTATATTTCCACTTAAGCATGGCCGTAGTCCCCATGTTCTCCAGCGATCATGCTATTTACATCCGAATTTAACGTTATACTCGTTCATTATTAGACCGGATGTTATTGTGACGCCCCGCGTTTGTCCTTTAGTCAGTGTCCGCTGTTGTTTTTAACCATTATGCGCTTTCCGCACGTTCCAAGGTCTAGATTTTAAAGCGCACTAATAAGACCATGAAATTAGCTCTTTTTCTGGTTACTTAATTAGGAGTTTGTCATACTGTCATTGTATTCTCGCCTTGACCATGTTGCTGTACTAATAAATGGCGTCGTAGTCGTCTTCATATTTCTTCCGCATATCGCCTTTTCTCCTCATATCTCCCTGTGGAGAAAAGTACTGGTATTGGTTAAGTGATGCGACCCATGCGAGGTTGTCGTCGTGTCTTTCCATTACCCATCTCTCTTTATTCGGAAATCTCACGTTCTGCAGCATACATTGTACATGTTTGAGGTTCTCATGCTAAACTGATCACCTTTCGTATTCCCGTTTACTTTTTAGTTGCTTAATGTAACCAGTGCCCGTGTCATTTAACCCCTCACCGAAAGTCATGGCCGAAACAACAACATTCAAATTTATCCCGCCCCCGGAGGCACCCGTGTTTTATCCAACCTTCAAGGAATTTGAGGATCCCCTCCTCTACCTCGAAAAGATCCGACCAATCGGTCAAGAAACCGGCATTTGTAAAATCATCCCACCAAAGGTATCCATCCTTATTTTGACCTTTCGCTCGTTTTGTCCACCTCTGCTTCCACCAATCTTTTACGTCTCTAGGGCTGGAATCCTCCGTTTGCAGTGGACGTCAACACCTTCAAGTTCACACCTAGGATACAAAGACTGTACGAATTGGAAGCTCATTCACGCCTTAAGCTAGATTTTATCAGCAAGCTATATCAGTTTTTCCGTCTGCAGGTAATCAGTCCACTTTGCGTTTACATTCATTCCCCCTAAAGGGCACGGAAAAGCTAAGGATTCCCAGTGTCGGTGGACGATACCTGGATATTTACTGGCTTCACAAGCACGTTATGAAGGAAGGTGGCTATGAAAAGGTAACATTGCGCAAACTCTGGCCTCAAATCGCCGAGAACTTGGGCTACCCTGGTAGCAAGTTTGCCCCCTCGATGAAGACTAACTATGAGAAGCTCCTCTTGCAATACGAGCTTGTCGTTTCTGCTCACCGCGCGAACGCAGCCTCAGAAGGCAAAACCCTAGCCAACATCAGTGAGCACTCACCATCATCGAAACGCGCTCGACTTCAGTCACAGGTAGGGGTTTTCTAAGTTTGAAGACACTGCTTGTTCACAGAGCCTCCAAACAATTGATTATTCAGCGAATAAGGAGTTGAAGAACCTCCAGTTCTTTGGCGCAGGGCCAAAGACTGCTGTCGCGCTTACAGATCCTTCAGCGAGTGTACGCCCTAAGCAAAATGATGTAAGTTAAAAATTTCTTCGAGGTTACTTCGATTCTAGCCCACAAATTACCTCTGCCGCGTCTGCGGTTTCGACAACAATGAAACCCACCTGTTGATCTGTTCCACGCCCTCGTGTCAGGCCTGTTACCACACGTACTGCCTGAGTCCTCCCCTCCCGAGTGTGCCTCACTACCAATGGAAGTGTCCCGAGTGCGTCCGGGTCATATGCAGTCAGCCAATGGACCTCTACGGCTTCCCGCAGTCTGACAAGAGCTACACTCTTCACGAGTTTGGCATTCGCGCGGATACCTTCAAGGCCAAGTACTTCAGACAGGAGCCAAGCGTACGTCTAAATGCTACCCCTTACTCTCTGATGTAAGAGGGTTCTTTCACACATCCAGCAGACGTGATCTAATGTTGTTGGTTGTTCTTTATGGCACAGTTTAATGAGAGAGAGAGGGGGGGGGAAACCGTGTTCGCATAGCTTTGGCAGTGAAGTGTGTTTTTTGTTGTGTGTGCTTGCGCACTCCACAGTCGGTGCCGTGTGCCGTGGTGGAGCAGGAGTTTTGGCGCATCCTGCAGGAGTACACGGAGGACGTGGTGGTGGAGTACGGCGCGGACGTGCACGCAAGCGACCAGGGCTCCGGGTTCCCCACCGAGCTCCAGCTGGCCCGATCCCCACACCTTTTCCCCACCCCCGAGCAACGCCGTCAGGCCCTTGCCTACGCCCAGAGTCCCTGGAACCTCAACAATCTCCCCGTTTATGGAAAGTAAGTCCTGTCAATCCTTGACAATCCTCAAGAGAGTCATTCCGAGGTGAATCTAAAATTCCTAGTGATGAAGCTTTGTGCCACAGTTGCTAGGCAAAGTGTTTCAATTTCAGAATACTGCTTTTTGACTAATCGCACATGCTTTCACTCCTAACTCGGTGGAAAACCAACTTTTCTGAATCACACTCGACCCGAATTTTGTTGATGAAAGCTTAAAACGGCGAAAAAAGTTCTAAATTGCACTACTTTACAGGCTGTTTAGAGGGGTTTGTGTGAACGTGGCTCCAGATACGTGCTGATTACAGCTAGTGCTTAGTTTCTACTTACATATCCCAATTCATGACCAGAAGCACATGAAAAATCAAGTTAAATCACTCCTCGATTGAAGCCAAAGACGCCAGAACACTGACGAATCCGATGTTGTTGGGACAATTGTGTGCGCGCAGAAACTCTGCTTCGGCCGGGCAGTCGTTTTGCCTGTTGGCGGCAGTGGAATTAGGGGGATGGTGTGCGTCCTGTATTTGTCGGCCTAGTGACTCACCCAACAGCCTGGCTTTCACCCACTTTCTCCTACTCGTGTAAATGCCCAAATCGGCAGGTATTATTGTTCAGTTTGCACAGACATACAGCTAAAAGCCTTCTAACTTCCACGAGGAATATCAGCTTTGAAAGCCCAGAAGTCGTCAGTTGACGGGTTTCACAAGTTTTCGCGTGGAACGAAGCCCGTCGCAGAGTTACCGGTGTCGTTCGTGGCTTCTGCTATGGCGAGAATCTCTGGCTGCCATTTCTAACTAACAACTGCAGTATATCCGTCTACCCTCACAACCTTATCGGCGTTTGCCTTATCAGCAGATAAGTGTTCGAGCTAGATTGTTAGCGTTACTCGCAGCGAACACGGATCTTAGTCATTTGGGGTGTTTCTTAAATCGCGAGATTTTGAGAAGCCTGACTACAGAGGCGTAGGAATGGCGTGAGCCCTGCTGACGCTTCAACCACCCACGCTAATCTCATCGCCGCGTGATCTCCTAGGTCACCAGACATCCCCTCCTCGTAGTCATGAGACTGTACAGCTTCTTTATCCTTTGCAGCTCCGTCCTACGCTTTATCAAGGGTAACGTCGACGGCATGAAGGTGCCCTGGTGTTACGTTGGAATGGTCTTCTCCACTTTCTGCTGGCACATCGAGGATCACTGGAGTTGTTCAATCAACTTTAATCATTGGTGCGTCGGTTACGTCTCCTCCCATCATTTCCTAGTGTTATCACTTGCTCGTTTCATTGTTTACACCTCTTCTGTTGCCTGGCAACGCATTCGTTCTTATTCTCGCCACGAAGCAGAGTTTAATCTCAGCTCAGACTGTTGTGAAATGCCTGTTCTACCTTCGCATGTCGTGGTGGTTAATTATAGAGGTGTGTGTAGGCTGTTGTCCTTAAATATCGGAAAGATATGATTTGTCCAGCACAACTGAAAGCACCTGGAGGTTTGGACGGTTTCGCAGTGAAGATTCGCCTTTTCCTTGTTAAGGGGCGAACCGAAGACGTGGTACGGGGTCTCCAGTCGGAACGCCGAACTCTTCGAGAAGGCGATGCGCAAACAGGCGAGCGAGTTGTTCGACCTCTCGCCCGACCTGCTGCATCACATCACCACCATCATGAATCCGAACCTGCTGCAAGCCGAGGGCGTGCCCATCTACCGAACGGACCAGCACTGCGGCGAGTTTGTCGTCACCTTCCCACGGGCCTACCACGCCGGCTTCAACCAGGGCTTCAATTTCGCCGAGGCTGTCAACGTCTGTCCACCGGCTTGGGTGAGCTACACCTCAGCATTACTCGCTCATCGGGCCAGCGTTTTATGCGCCTGGTTTGACTAGAAGCTGTTCTCTCCTAGTTGACTATCCGTGGGTTCCAAGCCAGGGTGTTTACTCTTTTAGCAGATCCTGGAACTACAGATCCTTTTGATTTCGCTTTAAAAGTACTCGGACCACGTACAAATTACTTTGTTTTGTGCCTTTGCCGATTTCAGACACCACTCATCTCGGTATAACACTTCTCAAGGTGATTTTCGTATGTTTCTTTTTCAATTGTGAGTCCCCTCGTAGCAGATGCTTGCCGTAACCCGCGTTGTCTGCTTCCCTTCAGCTGCCAATGGGTCGTGCCTGTGTGGAGCACTACGCGGAGATGCGTCGTCAGTGCGTCTTCTCGAACGACGAGCTCCTCTTCTGCCTGGCGGAGGTGATCGCGGGCAAGCGGGAGATGCGCGACTGTGCCACGTACACGGAGTTGGCGGCGGCCCAGTTCCGCGACCCCGACTCCGTCTGCCGCACCGGCTTCGAGGCCGCCGACCTCCGCGTCATTCACGACGAGTTCGCCCTCGTGGTGGCGCGCGAGGCCCAGCTTCGGCGACGCCTGGTGCTCGAGTGCGGCCGGTCCGTGCGCTTCCGGCTAGACGCCATGTCCGACGACGAGGATGAGAGGATCTGCGCCCTGTGCCAGACCACTCTCTTCTTTTCCGCGATCGCCTGCCCCTGCAAACTGCCCCCCACTGTAGCACAGACCTCTAGCTTGCGGAAACAGCCGAAAGGCAAGCGACGAGGTTCTTCGGAAAGCGAAACAGGCGCTTCCGCGGGACCAGGTCAGTGTCAGCCCTGTGCTCTTCGCCAGCCAACTCCTCGTCTTGGCTGTTTTAGTTTTCTAAAGACCTGTCACCTCTGTTATTGGAACTTGACTGCAGAATGAGCCGGATCTTGCCTGGATTTTGATGGAATGACATGCACTTTTCACAGAAACAGCCAATAAACTCTGCCGTTAATATAAACTTAAAACGGGACAAGGTCAGCTTCCAAAAAGTGTCTGTGTTTGAGATCGCAGGTTCAGAGGTTGTGTTTGCGTCGGTGAAATAAGCACGTGAAAGTGAAGGAAAAGGCTCGCAAAATATGCGGGGTTAGTTTTTTGTTCAACTCTAGCTCCCACTAATTTTTGCGTCAAGATCAGCGCTGCCATCTTGGAACAGCACCCTTTTTCCGCGTGTTTTCCTTCCACGCCATTGAGCAACTCCACTTCCCGTTGACTGTTTTGTTTTGGGATTGACACATCAGTCGCAATTTCCTTCCTTTCTTGACTGAAATAACTCGGCTGGTGATGTTTAGTGTGAGGTCCACATTCCCAAATAAGCATCACACAACTCATTAGTCGTGCTGACGTCATTACGCGTGTGGGAGGCTATTTTTACCGGTTTGGGGTTGTGCTTTACACACACACACACACACACACACTTAGTAACCGATGTCTCGACAATCACGGGTTGATGGTGTGTGTTTTCCGAGGTTTCACCATACTCAACTGAGCCTCTTTCTCAGCGAATTCACATTGACGAATGCGCTAGCCTTGTCCTGTGACTGTGTCAACGAATTTTTATGCAGAAATGCTGCTTGTTGTGTCGGGTCCTAGTTGCTTAAAATCGCCCTAACCTTCTCCCACGTCGGTTTCAGCTGCGCCGAGCTGTGCGGACGGAAGGCCCAGCCGCGCCTTCATGGTTTGCTTGCAACACGCGGAGTCGGTGTGCGAGAAGTGCGATCTCTCGGCGTGCACGCTCTACTTCACGTACTCCCTGGAGGAGCTAGAGGAGACGCTGGCGGCGTTGGCTGCGCGGATGACCGCCTACGAGGCCTGGCGACGCGAATTCGGCGGTCTCTTCCTCGGATCGTCCAAACCACCCGAAACCAAGGCCGAGGAGGACACGAAAACCAAGGTTGACCTCGGGACTTTTGAGGTACGACGCGTCCACCCCCCCACTTTCTGTTCCTAGGTGTGAAGTCAGAATTAAGATGGCTTCCCGCGTTGGTCTTTGTGAGTCATCCACCAAAAATCAAGTAACCCAGACACTCCCCATCACGGTGCACCAATTTACGCCTTCATTGTGCTTAATTTAGTCGTATTCTCTCCTGTTAGTGTAGTGGTTACCGAAGCGAGACCAACGAAGGCATGGCATAGTCCATTCAAGTCTCCGTCAGCACCTACCTCTCCGATTTTTTCCATCTTTCGAGTGTTTCAGCAGTTTGCTAGTCAATTGACTTTCTCCCCCGATTCGCCAACTTCACCAAATCACACGCTTGTTCCATTTTTCGCAGATGCAATTAAAGGACGCTCAGTTGTTTGGCTACCACACCGATCAGTTGTACAAGCGCGCCAATAGTTACCTCGAGAACCTGAAAGACCTGCTAAGAGTATGCGACAGGGCCGCCGACTTCGTCATGGGCCGTCTTGACATGGAGAAGGACCCTGAAGCCTTGGAACAGCTGGAATTTCAGTTAAAACTTCCCGCTGAGACAGTCAAAAGTGGAGGTGGTGGCAAAGTCCTCACCCACGTCCTCCACCAAAGCATCGATTTGCGGCAGTAAGCCAGAGTGTACTGTTAATCACTAGGACACTTTCGTTGCGTAGACTTGGACGTTCTAGCTGTGCTGACGCCTGTGGAACTGTGTCTCACGTGGTAGTAGGCTCAAACAGGGTTTCACATTGCCCCTTCCAGAAATTCGACTGCCTGGTTTCTTGCTGTTGTGTAAAAACCATCCAATCAGAAAGGCCTGGCTTCTTGCTAAGCTGTGATTTTGTTGCGGAAGCCCTGCTGAAATATGGCGACCCCTTCTCTAAGGTCAGTCACGTTGTCGAGGTGGATGAGAGTCCTCAAGTGGTCAAGTTCTCGAAGCTAAAGATTTGCCACCTCGACTGACAACCTTCTAGAAATTGCGTTTCCGAGTGGGTGTCTGGTGTCCCTGAAGTGTCCAAGATAGTGGCTGCCTTCGTCAGCGCTAGAAATGTCGATAAAGGCGTTGGATTTTTGGAAGTCTTGTAGAAAGTAGACCTAGAGTGTGGCGGGTATTAGCAAAGGTGGCGCTAGGTACATTCTTGCCTGACGCATGCTTCACAAACTCACTGTGATGGTTGGTCGCTTTTTCTGTTCTTTAGCCCATGCGAGGTTGATTTTGTGCGCTTGCTAGAAGCTGTAGACGCAGAGGACGCAGCAGGCCCGGTTACGCTGGAAGGCATTGAGAGCATTGCCACGGTGCGAGGCGTGTTTCGTACTACACTGCCCGAGTGGCGCGCCGAGGCCAAGGAGGCTGTTGCCAATCGCGCCGGTTTTGCCAGCATCCTGTCGCACGCTCAGGTGAAGCCTGAGGCGGGGCAGACGCCACCGAAGGTGCAGCAGACGCTGGCAGCGCTCATTGACAAGTTGCGCACGCAGTGTCCGGGGTGGTGTGTGCACATGGAGGAGTTCAAGCTCCTTTGTCTGGTAGGCCTCCTCCACGAGTCTCTTTTCATTGGTTCTCTTGGTGCTAGTCGCTTGTTCTCGATCTTCCGTGTACTCGTCCATCGTTTTCGTATGGCATTCTACCTTGGCTACTTCCCCGCTGTCGTCAGTCATTTCCTAGCAACTTCCAACCAACCAGTGGAAGTTGAGTAGCAGCCCTCGATTTTGATTCGCCCAGTATTTATACTCATGACATTGGATGCATCAGTTTGACAAGTATAGCTGCTAGAAAATGTCCGCTTCCAGCGGTGAATACACAAACTGTTTTGTTCTAAGCAGTCCAGTCTGGTATTTGAGCTGTTAATGATGGTGAGGTGTCTGCTCTTAGATCGAGGAGGTCTGCAGGTGGCTCATGGCATCCATGGAGTACACGGGGAGGGAGGGACGCTCTGCCTGGACTCTCGCCGGCCTGCGGTCCCACCTTGCCTGGGGCGAGCCCCTGACCACTCGCATCGCATTGGCCGACGTCAGTTCGAACCTCGAGGCAGCCGCTGGCGTGGGTCCCTCGAGTTTGCGTCTCGTCGGCAATCGCCAGCTACGGGGTCCAACCAACCCAGATCGTGGACGCACCAAACCGCTGCCGGCGCATCTGAATGTCGTGTCGGCGGCCCACCCTCTCATCAGGCAGCTGAGGGCGCGTCTCCACACCACCATCGGCATCATCTCACAGGCCCTGGTCGATGCCGATGCCATCCTTGCTGCCCTTTCCGAATCCATTCAGGATCTGCAGTGAGTGTTCTAACCCTTTTTTTCCCGGAATTGCTTGAACACTTATCCCTTCACCAGGACGTCGTCCATTTCCAGTTCCCGATTCTAAGTGCCAAAATCCATATGAGATCCAATCTCTTTGATCAGTATAATCCACCTCATAGACTTGTAGCGTTACCCATAAAACAGTCGTAATTATTTGGATAGTCGGTTACGCTACGCTAATGATCAATCAGCGTCAGATGCCTCTAGTTCAATCAATCAATTTCTCGATCTTGGTTACCTCTGTTTTGGTTGGAACTTGGGCAAGGACGCCTCCCAAACTGTCATCTTAGCGTTTTTAGTATGAGTTTGCTTTGATTGTGACAAGAAATCGGCAAAGACGTTTCGTAGCACCTAGTTTTGCGTGAGCACATTTTGTGTGGTGAATAACGCTTTAAATAATGGGTTTCAACTCGGTTGCGTCATAAGGCAGCTCGGAACGAGAATCAGAAGTAGACCAATGGGCTAAACGACCCTGATAGTGTCTTTCTTAGAGGGATATTGAGCCAGTCTTTCAGCGCCAACAAGAATTCTTGCTGACGCCTCTGGATACTGATCTAACAAGATGTTTTGGGAAATGTAGGTGCCTGAAAAGGCGCTGTGATTAAACCGTCGTGGTTGAATCGATCGGGATAGCTGGAAAGCTCCTATCTTCACCACAGACTGTCCTCTGGTCTTTCCAATGCCGAATTATCAATGCGTACAACAAAGCCCCGCTGATTTGCCATTATTGCTCCCCTCTCTGTCCGCATTGTAACTGCCTTTCTTGTCCCCTAGTTTAACTGAGCCAATTTCGCGAAGTTCCAACTCCCCCGTCGTGGAGAGCATCGCCAAGCTCCAGCGCCTCGGAATCGCCAGTCTGGGCGACTGCGACGTCGTCAAAACCAGCGATCCGGCTCTCAAGGACTGCCTGGTTAGCCTCCGCGACCATGCTGTGTGCTCTTGCTCGCCACGCTTCGCTGAGACTGTCAATTCGAGCGCGGTCGATCTACAGCTGGATGAGGCGCGACTGATCTACTGGTGGTGTGCTCAGGTGAACGGCTTCCTGGCACACGAAGGCAGCCCCTGTCCTGCTCGGCCTGATGCGTGGCTTTCCAGGGTGAGCAATCAACACTACCTAGCCGGTTTGTTCTTGACATGAAACTGGCTCTCCTATAATGTTCTGTTGTAGTGACTTGTGGTCTAAGCACTACCTTACAACCCTCTAGTTAACCGCCCGTATAAACCTGAGAAGAGAGGGAGGAGAGGCGACAGAGGACACGACCGTTTATTTGCGTCACGCCAGCCAAGTGTCTGAGTGTGTGGATGTGTGAACGGATGACAGGCATCTGATACAGTAACCAATGAAAAGGGGATGAGTCATTGTCACCGTCGGGTCAGTAACCAGGGTTCACTCAGGCGCGATCGCTGTTAATCCACTGCACTTTTAAGTGATTAAAAAATTGATTCCGTGAGTCTGAACGATTCAGCTTGCATTAGAAATATAATCTTTCTTGTCGAAATTTATCAGAATGATGGTGATCAAGCTCTGGCCCGTAAGTGGTAACTGGCTGGTGACTAATAGATTCCCTACGAAATCGGCTTCGTTCAGTCGTGGATGTGGACTGATTCGGCCCGTGCCACCGAAATTTTGATTCCTCAAGATCGCTCACAATTACCGGTTCGTTGACTCCGGTTTTCGTTCCCCTAGCTTAAACCGACCCTGCACTCTCCCTACCACTCACGGCTACACCTGACGTGTGACTCCTGAGCGGGACAGGTCGCGTCATTTCGTGTGACGTCGTTTCTTCCCTGCCTTTTAGCTCTCCGATCTGATTGCTGTGGAACGCTTTGTCTTCGGCTGCGCGCGCGACGCGGACCAAAAACTTGCCCCACTGCCCGAACTCGACCAGTACCGCAGTGATTTCAGGGCGTACTGCGAAGCTCACCTCGCGGGTCTTCACGAGGTCGCGAGTCACTTTGTCGACTGCACCCTTGTCCTGCCTGTCGACGAATTCAACGCCGTTCTGCTGGTAAGTTTCTTTGTCATTTGGTGGTTTTTTGGTTCACGTGGTTCGAAGTGGGGTAGCCCTTGTGTTGCCCACTACGCACTGGGTAGAGTCGCAATATTTTTTTGACTTGGACGTATGAGTCAGTGCCGTCTAAGGCGGGCAACCAACCGCAGGCAGCAGCGTGAACTAATTGCGGACACTGGGCAGGCGTGGTCGGGCAATGCACACACCCCAGTGTTGTTTTTCTCCCCGCGTCCGTGCCCGCATGATTCGCAATCCTCCCTTCTCCCTAATAATTTGCGCATTCTCTTGTCTTCCCAGGCCTCCATTCTGCCGCCGCTAGACGACGCCAACTCGCTCAGACTGCATGAGGCTGCGTTGAAGCAGGATTTCGAGTACATTCAGGCAAGTCCACGCTTATCACCAATTACTCCTCACCTACTTAAATGCACTCTCGTGATAAATTTCCTTCAACTCAATCTCCTTTACTTTTTCGCGCGAACGCACCCCGCACAATATCCCGCTAGACAGACGAGTCCAAGCTCACCTGTGTGTTTTGTCTCTTTTAGCAATTCCTGGGCTCGCAGACACAAGTCTACGCGGCCAAAGTCGAGGCCATTCTGGCGAGTGCCACGCCCGAACATCTCTGCCCGGACTGTTGTGCGCGCTTGGTGCTTGCGGTGAGTTGCATTCTCGTGCGAACAGGACCTCTCTGTGTTCGGGTCGGAACGCGCGCCAACCGTACACTTGAAGCCGGTGAAATCGCCTTGCCAAGCGATAACCGCTTTCGACCTAGCGACGGCTTTTCGCCTTAAGTCGTGACTTGTTGCGAACGGGTCGATGTTAGTGGTACAGAGTACCTGAAATGTTGATTGTAGGCATCGTTAGCCAGGTGATCACTTGTCGCCAGATTATGCGTGAGGTGGATGATTGGTTGAAGGATGGTCAAAGCGATTGTTTGAGGCGCCCAGCTCGGAGTTTGTTCTAGCTCGTAGAGGGCCGATCATCGTCTATGCCGAATTAACAGGTTCTGGTCGTGATTTACGAAAGCCCGGGATTTGACGTGGATGTTGGTGGAAAAGGTTTACCCGGCAATAATCGTTTCTGGCCATCTACTCTGGTCCTCCGTGCACATTTGCACTGTCGCGTTGTTCCTTGGTTGGCGTGGCGTAGAAGGGATTGGGTTGCACATGTAGCTGGTTGGCTTGAGTTCTTAATGACCTCATTTTCGAGCAATTTTATTCGTTTACCGTCGCAGAAAGCCGACGTCGAGTTGCAGGGTGGCTGTCTACTGTGTGGCTTCATCCCGATGATTCCCCACGAACGACCTCAGCCGACTGATTCGGAGGAGGAATTTCGGTTGCTAGAGCAGATTTCTTCCGACGCAGACCCTCACGCCAAACAGGCTGCTGTAGCCTCCACGAGTCTTGTCAATGCTGCGAAGATTTGTATTAGTGACTTGGTGAGACGCCGATCGGAGTGGATAGTGAGTGATTATCTCCGTTGGTTCTGGACATGTTTGAATCGATGTATGCGATGGTGACGCTTCTTTCTCGTTTTCCACCTTTCAGAAGCAGATAGGCATTCTCTTGGAGGCGAATCCACGCACCACGGCGGAGCTCTTGTCGAAGCAGCACGGAATCTGTATTGATCAGCTGCCGAATGCTCTGAAGGCGATCTGTTCGACAGTTTCAACGACGTCGTCGCCAGCACCTTCTTCCAGCAGTCAGTCGAGCATTCGATCCCTTCTGATTGGTGGCTACGTCCTTTCCGCTGGTTCGCCACTGTCGACAGCTTGCTTGAATTTGATAGGGGGATTTCTTTTATAATTTTCACTTACTCTGTCCTCGACTCGCTCACGGCTTTTTCTATCGTAGGTGTTGTTTGCTATACCTAGGTTTTGGTGGTGTTGTGTACAGTTTTGGCAATCAGTCTCACTTCCCACATTCTCCTTTCCTTGCCCGCCATTTATTGATTATCCACCACTCACGTATCCCGCCTTTTATGAATAAATAATTCTAACCCTTACTGTGGTATGCGCTTCATTTGGTAAAGCGTGTTCTCGTTGAAGTCACTCGAAATATGTACTGTGGAATTGTGGGTCCACGGTCCAAGTTTTCCACGTTGTGCTCCACTTTTATAAGTTCAGGTATTACTAAGTACTGACGCACACTGCACTGTGTGGAGTCGATTTTGGTGAGTGCTAAATTCAGCACATTTCGTCACGGTTACGGTGTCTGTGAGACCCTTTGGAGTGAGGTTTTAAAATAATGCGATGCCTTGGCGTCGGTAAATGGTTTTACTCATTCATGGTCGTAATTGGGGCGTTTTAATTGGTTTTAAAATGCGCAGCTGATTGGTTGTCGAGCGTTGCACAAGCTTACTAAGTACTTCAATTCCTGTTTTCTCTGACCATAATTATCAAAAGGCGAGGGCTCCATTAGTTTAAGTCCACACCAAATTCTGTCTAATAAAACAACTAACCACCTTCGCAAAATTCAACTTCTTCTAGTCAATAAGAGGGCGATTTAATTCAAAAGTTAGTAAGATGAATGTGGGCAGTATTACTTTCATGAAATTTGTTGAAGTGGTCAGAAGCTGGAGCCAATGCGAAAGTCGACTGGATGCCTGGGTGAACTGAGGTTGGTGAGTGGCGTAATGAACACCAAGTGTGGCGCGACTACCGAGTTGTAATCGAGTGAACAGGGCTGATTGAATGTCGACGTTCTCGGGAGATGGGTATCCGTGTTCATCGCAAGCAGCAGAGGTTTCTTCATTCTTTTTCGAAGTGAACAATCTGTCTTAATTAGGTATTATGGATTAATTTAAAACGTCTAGTTAACTTCAACGAAACGCCTACTGTCTTTAGAATTTTTCCATTTCCGTGGTACTACAGCCTCCTAGTGTAAAAGGTTGGAAAGTTGCAATGATTTTGATTTGATGAAATTACTTACTCCATGACCAAATGCATCGCATTGTTTTCTGTCAACAGTAAAAAAAGGCAAAAGTGAAAGGCTTATGATCCTTGATAAATGGATGTATTAGCTTGTGCTATAAGCCGTATTCGTCGCGTAGCATTTCAAAACAGAGGCAGGAGTCGCTGGGAGAAGGCATTTGTGCCCAGGAAACTATGAACATTTTTGCCTTGGAAACTTAATTCAGAAAAGTAAATGAGCACGTCAGTATTTAAAATGTATTCAGCCACGAATCGGAAAACGGTATCTTGGCGTTTCCTTCGCTTGTTTCGATGTATTTTCGTGATGAGTGCATCGATGGTGATCGAATTCCTAAAGATATAAGTGTGCGATTTCGCAAACATTCATGCTTTTGTGTCCCGACCCGAAACTAATTACCCAGAATGGTAAAACTGGTCTAATTTGCGTGTTTAGGAGATGCTGTGTCACGAACGAAAACGTCTGCACCCTAAGACTCAGAAGCTCTTGGAGAGCACGTCGATTAGATCCTGGAATGCTTGGTTGTACGGTTTTGTTGGAAGACGGTTTGAAGTTGAGAATCGGGAGTGAAGGTCAGGAACAGGAACAAGTAGCTCAGCAGGCGATCCGGTGGAATCACACCTCTCATCAGAACCAATTCCAGAGCTGACATGTTTAATTAGCCGACAGCCACCTGCAACCTACGTTTGAATTTGCACGCAGTCTTTGTTTCCTGATGGATTTCGATAAGCCCTACCACGCAGTTTTTGTTTTTTTTTGGTGGATTTTGATAATCCGATCAATAGTCGAGACTTTGTGCTCAATGAAAAATTAGTTTCGTCATGTCAGGGGCCAGCAAATATTTTCAAAGCAACTAATACGGCAAACAAAGATTTGCATAAATCGTCCTAAGGACAGTATGTTACCGGCAGGTATTGGTAGGTAACGAACTTAAATCTTTTCTACTGCAAATAATTGCTAAATTCCTTAGTAAAATATTGTCATTCGCTATTTCACTCTGCTAGAATATACTTTTTCCAGGAATATGATTCAGATTTGAAAAAAAAAATATGGTCTGATTCTGTATTTGAAGAAAAGAACCCAACATCCCATTTTCAAGGTTGCTTGTCAACTTCCTATTATCATTCTGTGTTTTAAAACGACGGTTTGCGGTTGCTTACTGATACCATTATGAAGCCTCTATGCAAGAATGTAGCACAGCAATTAAATATTAAATCACTGTGTTTGTGATTATGTCGATTTTTCCCAAATCCATCAAATTCGAAATCTCTGAGGGATATTTGGATTAGCAAATAAATTAGCTAATATTTCGCAAGTGTCGTCATTAGTTAAAAGTTGGTTGTTTAGTTTACAAATGTCACCTGCTGGACATAGATTCGTTCCTATGCTACGGTTTGTCTAGTGAAGAAAATTGTACATTGCATTGAACAAAATGTATTTTCTGTTAACGATAATTATTTCGGAAGATCTTTGCATCTTCTTCAATAAAATCCGGAATCTATATTTTTTTCGATTCCGTTACAGCACCTTGAATATTCAAGAAATGTTACAAATGTAACTCGTGAAGTCTTTAAAGCGCCATTACTTAATTTATGGCCATGTGACTTTATGCTTTTAGTGTGAGAGAATGATGCCTATACCCGTCGCCTAATTCAAGCTCGCGGAACCATGCCAACACTTAAGGTGTAGTGTGGTGTGACGACGGATCAGGGCGCAGACTTATTGGATCACCTGGCCGCAGCCAATCCTGTGTCTCTCAGCGATCCAATGGCATGCGAGGAAGAGTGGCAGCCAACGAATGAGGTGCAGTATATAATGAGCGGCGTGGCCAGCGTGGTGGACGCGGACGGAAAGTGCCTGACTTGTGGTTCTGGCTTGTGATTGGTCAATAAAGCCTGCTGTGTTGTACCGGTCTTTTCCATACCAAGGCTCAGGTCAGGATCAGGGCGGAGACATCGGGCCACACTGTCATTAGCCAATCCTGTGTTTCTCTGTGTTCCAATGACATGCGAGGAATATAGGCAGCCAACCAGAGAAAGACACAAATGAGGACCAGTATATAATGATCTACGTGGCTAGCGTGGTGGACTTGGATGGAAGGCGCCTGAGGTGTGGTTCTGGCTTGAGATTGGTCAATGAAGCCTGTTTTGTTGTACCAGTATTCTTCCTATTAGGGCTCGGGTATTAAACACCTCAAATAACCTCTGTATGATACCTGAACCCTAATAGAAAGAAGACTGGTACATTACATAACGCTTATTTGACCAATCGAATGCCAGAATAGTACGCCATGGGCCGTCCATCCGTGTCCACCAAGCTCGCTGTGCCCGCTCATTATAAACTGCCCTTAGGCCTACCTAACGCCTCGGCAACGTTTCAACGGCTAATGAGCACAGTCCTCCGTGGTCTAATGAGGCAGGAATGCTTAGTTTATATGGATGACGTGATCGTCCACGCAAATTATATCCAGCAGCATATTAGGGGCTACGTAATGTCTTCGAACGACTTCTTGGGGCGGGGCTTAAACCTTGCCCTTTTCAGGGAGCCGGTAAAGTCTTTGTTTTAGATAGTCTCTAAGGAAGGGAATAGAACGGACCCGGATGAGATGAAGAAGGTTGGGACATGGCCGACCCCACCAATATGGAAGAGCTACGTATTGTTTTAGGACTAGCAACATCCCATAGCTCATCGGCGACAAAAGTACTATAATGATATCCTAGTAGAAAAAGGTGACTTAGTGCGGATGGCTACGACCAATACAGTGGGCGAAGGCAGGAAATTTCATCATTCCTAGTAAGAACCATGAGTGGTTGACTCGGTCCTTATTGGAGCGATGTGTGTAATTCGTAGTCTCGACGAAAGCTCAGTCACTTTAATAAGCTTAAATTGGTTTTCGCCCGTATTTGCCAATTTAGGGAAAGGGCTGGAGTTCGATTCGAACGCATCGGCTGATACCAAGGTAGAATACACCAGCCCTAACAGGAAGAAGACTGGTACAACAGAATAGGCTTTATTGACCAATCACAAGCTAGGAATACACGTCAAGCGCCTTCCATCCGAGTTCGCCACGCTGGCTACGCCGCTCATTATATACTGCACCTCAGTCGTGTCCTTCTCTGGTTGGATACTGATCTTCCTCGCATGCCATTGGAACACATAGAGACACAGAATTGGCTGAGGCCACAATCCAATATGTCTGCGCCCTGATCCGTCGCCACTGTAGAATACCCGAGCCCAAGTATGAACAAGACTGGTAAAACAGAACAGGCTTTGTTGACCAATCAGAAGCCAGAGCCACGCGTCAGGCGCCTTCCATCCGAGTCCACGATGCCGGCCACGCCGCTCATTATAAACTGCACCTCGTTCGTGTCCTTCTCTATTTGGCTGCCTTCCTTTCCCAAATGCCATTGGATCGCAGAGAGACACGGGATTAGCTGAGGCCAGGTGGCCCAACATGTCTGCGCCCTAATCCGACGCCACACCACATGTAGAATACCCGAGCCCTAATAGGTAAAAGACTGGTACAACAGGACAGGCTTTATTGACCAATCAGAAGCCAGAGCCACGTGTCAGGCACCTTCCATCCGAGTCCACCACGCTGGCCACGCCGCTCATTATATACTGCATCTCATCCATGTCCTTCTCTGGTTGGCTGCCTTCCTTTCCCACATGTTATCGGATCGCAGAGAGACACGGGATTGGCTGAGGCCAGGTGGTCCAACATGTCTGCGCCCTAATCCGACGCCACACACACTACACCACACTACAAGGATTCCTCCTCGGGAGTGGATTCAAATCCCATCATACTGCGGGGCCGAGGCGCGCACCACATCACACTACAATGGGGATTTTAGCGTGATTGTGTCTGAGGCAAATTGTCGCTCTTGCTCGCGATGTAATTCAATTTTATTGGTCACAGGCTTCTCTCCTCAAATGCTTTTTTGAGGAAGCTGTTTTTTGTTTTGTTACAAGCAGATTCAACATGAGAAGGAATCGAAAGTTTGCATGGTGTGATCTTAAATGTATGCTCTGCCTAATCTAGGCGGGATCGATCAGCATTTCTTACATTATTAAATGTAACTTCTGCTAATATCTTGCCAAAGCAGGTTGTGACTGGGGACACAGCCGCTTCGGTATCGACCCATAGCCTCTGCGGCTATTTGTCAGGCACCAATGCACAATACTTTTCGTGATCACCGAAATACTTATATAATTTTCAAGTTGCTAATAAAATTTTAAAAAGTCAAATTTTCCTCCTTCCCTTTGTTTTTATCACCACATTTCTGGCGAACTATGTTGGACTCAATGACTGCATTTATTTAATATAGTTAGCTGGTTTGAAGATATTTAATTATTATGGACGTATATGTGGCTATGAAATTACCCGAGAAAATCTTGCAACGTCTCACGCAAGCTGGACTGAAATACGAGGCCTGGACTGGTTCCGGAGTACCTCCGCGACAGCATTTACTCGAACGTGTACGAGGTGTGAAGGGCCTTATATGCCACCTAGGCGTCAAAGTCGATTCTGAGCTCCTAAATGCTGCTGGTGCCAACCTCAAAGTTGTCAGCACCATGTCGGTCGGCTTCGATCATTTGGATCTCAAGGAACTTAGAGCTAGGAATATTCGCATTGGTTACACCCCCGAAATATTGACTGATGCAACTGCGGAGCTAACCGTTAGTCTGCTACTTACAGTTTCTCGTCGAATGCGCGAAGGTGAGTTCTGTTTGGATGCCAAGGACCTCATGGAACCTTAGTTGATGAGATTTTATTTTAAGTTAGCATCGGAAACTGTTTCAAGCGGCAAATGGGGTTCGTGGGAGCCCTTCTGGATGTGTGGGAAAGGTCTGAACAATTCCACTGTTGGAATTTTCGGCCTTGGTCGCATTGGCAAGGCCGTCGCCACCCGTTTGGCTGCGTTCTCTCCCAAACGC